CATCAATATAGACAGACCCATCACGGAAAACCGGCGCCTGCACTTTGGGTATCCTCCATGCGCCACTGAAAGGACTCGGCGGTGCGAGGTATCAGCGCCCTCACGTACCGCCCCTCACTGGACTCCTGCGGGCTCCGAATCCTCCAAAGTCGGGGCTGAAACATAGGGGTCTGCTAAAACTAAAGGAACCAGGGCAGAAAAAATAATGGAAACAACACAAAAACTAGTCTAGCAAAACATGGCTGTACCTGGCCCCCAAAAAGTACAATCTAAAGGTACCCTTGAAAAATGGAACCCTGGTAAATGGCCACGAAAAGAACCCTGGTAAATGGCAAAGACTAAAACCTGCAGTTTCGGAGAGGGCTCCTTGTTGGTTTCAGACGGAAACCAAAAGGAAACCAACCAGTTTAGGGATGCCCTTAAAAATGCCACTCCCATTTGCGAAAACGTCCCCTGGAAAAACAGATTGAATATGTCGAGTCGTGACATCGACTCCCTTTAAAACCAACTGTGTATCAAAAAACAAAACACATCTTACTTGAATTGGTAGAAATAGTGGCCAACATGGGCCAACTCAGAAATGGCTAGTGGTTCGGATATATACAAGCCACTCGTCTTATTGTCCGGCCATCTTTGTCAATGACTGCCCCTAGCGAGCAACACAGCTGCTTGAGGGTAATTATATATACACACTGTACAAATACATGGACCCCGACTTTGACCCTCCAACCAGGTTGCCCGGTGGAAAGCCATACCTGGACCCTCAAAAGGACGCATGATTTGCTTTTTACATTTGTTTGCTGCCGTCGCCAAATGAGCGGAATTTGCAACATGTACGCGGAAACTGCAAATTGCATGTTCTGCAGCCATTTCTGCTGATTTGGCATGATCTTACATCACCAGCGTTTCTCAAATGGCTTTCATGCGGGCACCATCCAAAGTAGGAGTGAGACACATTGAATTTCATGACATGGCGCAGGGATGCGCCTCAACCCCAAACCAGCTAAGTTTCATACGATTCATCTAAGAAATTGCAACCAAATTGTTCAATCGATGGATTTGTGGCAACATGCCGCAAATTTGGCCAGCAAAAGCTGGTGAGGAATGGTACTCAACATGGTAGAGTTCGTGGGCTTCGATTGAACATGGAGTCAATAAGGGCCAAGTAGCTTCAAGCAACCATGGAGAGGTCGAACCGAAATTGTTGGGTTTTTTTGGTAAATAAGCGATTTGTCTGACGATGCGCGTGTCTTTGTTTGTTTTTTCCTTACTTAAAGAAGTTCTAGGTGTGGGTGTGACTATCAACTAGGCGCCCTTGGGTGGGCATCATTTGGGGATTTCTGCCCCCCAACCACTGTTCAGTGGCCGTTTCCCATCTTTCCCTAGTTTCCCAAATCCCTAGGCACACCCAGGACCCCGGCAACCCTGATGTCACCGAGCAACTCAATGGGAAGCGAATCCCAAGATGATTCACCGGGAAATTGCCAGGTGGTATCCCGCTCCATTGGCCAAAGTCGGTCTGCTCTCTCGTGTTCCCCTGTGGCTTTTTGGGAATAAGTTGTCGTTTTGTGGTTGCTGTTCTTTGCTTCTTTCGGGATGTCACCTTCTGAAGCTCTGCTGCCCTAGATGTCCTTTCGAACACAAAAAGCGCTGTTACCTAGGACCCAAAAGGAAACCAGTGAATTCATCCATTTGGGTGCTTTTTCTTGAGGGGGTACCCTTGTTGGGCTACAGCAAACCAACAGGGAAACCACCAGTTTTAGGGGGCCTATATTAAGACAAAGGCTAGGCATGTCTATTTTGAAAAAGAAAACACAAGCCAACATTTAAAGGGGAAAAACACTACAAGCCAATGTGATTTCTGCCCAGCCCCTAAAGCACCATTAACTCATCCAACACGAAAAGAACAAATCACTACAAGCCAATCTGATTTCTTCCCAGCCCCTAAAACACCATGACCTCACCCAACATTTAAAGGGGAAAAACACTACAAGCCAATGTGATTTCTGCCCAGCCCCTAAAGCACCATTAACTCATCCAACACGAAAAGAACAAATCACTACAAGCCAATCTGATTTCTTCCCAGCCCCTAAAACACCATGACCTCACCCAACATTTAAAGGGGAAAAACACTACAAGCCAATGTGATTTCTTCCCAGCTCCTAAAACCAATAACTCACCCAACATTAAACAGAACAACTCACTACAAGCCAATCTGATTTCTTCCCAGCCCCTAAGACACCATGAACTCACCCAAAATATAAAGGGAAAAACAACTACAAGCCAATTTGATTTCTTCCCAGTAACTCACCCAACATTAAAAAGAACAACTCACTACAAGCTAATCTGATTTCTTGCCAGCCCCTAAAGCACCATTAACTCACCCAACATTAAAAGGAACAAATCACTACAAGCCAATCCGATATGTCCCTTCACTCCGGAGGCCCTTAGCTAGACACAACTTATGTTTGCAACCAGCTCATAGGGGAATGAGGGAATGACACCCGCATCATTTTTGGGATCCCTAGGTTCATACCGGTGATTCCCTGACCATCAAGCAAGTGCCACCCTTGGGCGGGGGCAAACAGGAAGACTCCAACAAAAACAAATGCATCCCAGCAATCCTTGCAATCCTCGAAGCCTGCAAGTAAACCAGAAGTACTGACAAGCAAGAAGACCCGCCCAACCCGCTCCTTCGTGGCTGTCGGAGGTGGGACGCTATGAGGCCTCTTCGCGCAAGAGGGTTGCCACCAAGGGAACCACTTTACGCCACTATATAACAGTTATATCAACCTCTAAATTCATAACCCCGAATAAAACCACGGTTTAACGACTATAAGCCATATTATAAACCACATTCATAACTGTCCCTTCAGCGTTCTGGAAGTAACACCTCCACAGTGCAAAAAGCAAACAGCTTTGACATCTAGGCCAACATGTCCATGGGGTTTGCCAACCCCAGGCAAAGAGGTGCCAGGGGAAATATGCATTGACGTGAAACAAGTGGGTATATGGGAGTTTAAGTTATTCTTTGAATCCAACAACGCTCGGCAAGGAGTTGGGGGGGGGGGGCCTGATGAAGGTAGGCCAGTTCGTCTGTCGCAACCGGATGCTGACGGCTTCATGAAAGCAAGGCGGAGCGCCTATGTTTCGATGTTCAAAGTGAAACCAGGATAGCCAAATATTGGGGCCCCGTATGTTGGGGTCCCGCCCCCAAATCTGTGCAACACCTGTGTGGTTCGCTTCACCCGTCACGTCTGTCAGACAAAAGGATTCAGTCGATGTCTGAGTTTAAGACAAATCCAACATTGCGGGGCCCGATCAACTCACTCAGGAAGCTTCTCTGTGGCGTTGATGTGTGATCTCCCCTGGTGTCAGAGGGAAATGGGCATGACTGGCACAATAACATGAAGGCAGTGGCTATTTCTTGATTATAAGGAAAATGACAGGAATAGACGGGTTGGGTTCGAAGGCTGGTCTAAAGATGAACCTTGCTGGGCGTCTTTTCGGCTTCCCTCCCCATGGACCTCACTTGAACAAGTTCCAAACCTGGTCAATCCCCAGAACTGTGCCTTCAATTCAACAAAGCACAACGTCAATCCCCAGAACCATGCTTCAATCCAAAAAAAGAAAAACACCGATCCCCAGAACCATGCTTCAATTCCAAAAAGCGAACAACGGCGCAGCCGCCCCGTTGGGACGATTTTTTGGGATCCCTTGGGATTCCTTCGCTGCCCACTGCCCGCCTCTGCAGCTCGCGAGGCTGGACAACATGGATAAATGTCGCTGCATACTGCAGCATCGCGATGGATGGCCCGGCGATTTCTACTCCGCCGCGAAACCGGGCAACTTGAGAACTTTGTTTGCTGCGAATAGGCCGGTGGAGAGACCAATTCGCCGAATCGGTTGTCTACGCTTGCTGGGCCCTTTAAGAAACATCCAGCTCTCCTCACGCTTCCCCCTCCTTTCTCATAGCCCGCCTCGTCTCATGGGGACAGACGTGTGGCTATCACATGACTCGTGAGGTTCTTTGCTGCTCAATTCCTTGCCACTTACCTCTCACTGCTCGCCAGACAGGGTTTTCGACAAAGGAATGGCTGCACAATTCGTGGTTCCGAAGCTAGTGTTGACTCCGGATTTACAAACCCTGTTTGTAGGGGCGGTGCTCGACATTCACCAGGACATGGGTGAAACTCTTTCGGGATTTGACCGCCCGGAAGAAGAAATGCTAGCTTTCTCAAGTGAGCAAAGTTTCTTTTGGGTACATAAAAAGGGGGACTCCGCGGAACCTACGCGAACCTACGCGAGCTGCATTTTTGCAGGGTTTCAGCCTACGCGGAGGCAGTTCCTACGCCAAAGCCTACGCGGCGTACGCGGACTGCGCAGGCGCACTATTCCAGCCTACGCGGCTCCGGGCGCTACAAAAAACTCTGCTCAAGTCATCTGCGCACTAGACCAACTCAACCCAAAAAACTTTTGAGACCCAGACAGGTGTGCAACGGTCAAAGGAACCCGCTTACGATATTTTCCGTCCATTACAGTGACATCCTCAAAATGACCCTTGAAGCGGCTTAGAGGGAAAACCGCCAGTCATTTTGAGAACCCCTTAACTTGTTCCACTTGAAGGTACTCAGGTACCCAAGGCTATTTGGCAATGGGTCAAAATCCCGTAGCCCCAGTGAACATCCCAATCCGCACTCAAATAGGTTCTAAAATGGGTGGTGCGCCTACCCCAAAATGGAATCCCATTCGTTTTGACCCACAGCCATATCGGATTGATCCGAAGGACCGTACTCAGGGGTTCCCGTAGCAAATGATCTATTTTCGGGGATCCCTGACAGTCTGTAGTAAAATCCGGAGGAATCCGAAGTTAACAACAAAATACGAGGCCACAATTGGGCACCCCACCAAACCACAAAGGAGCTTGGGATCCAAAAAGTTTTGACCACCACAGCCATTTGGGATCAGGCGACTCAAGGGCTTTTTGGCCCCAGCTCCGCCTTCTGGCGCTTCGCGGGCTGCACAATGCCCTGGTCCTGGCACGAAAGGCCGACCAAGTGTGGTAGGCTTGATGGCCCCTAAGCACTCAACCAATCCTCGGTTGCTGTCTGCTCCCCTGCTAAAAGTTGAACACTTTTAGTGGTTTAATGGAACACCCATTAGTTGGGCTCCGCATAAGCTTGGCAATGCTCCCTCTAGTTTTGTTTCTTCTTGTTTTTTTCCGCTCTGTCAAGGCCTCTATGAGCTCTGTACGCGCGGCTCCCTAACACCTAACCAATCCCACCCCCCCCAGAAGATATGAAACAGACATGGGCTAATGGAAAAAAAACAGACTTGTTGCTAAAGGGTCCAAATTATAGAAGCGATTTGGTCACACCAAAGACTAGCCATACCAGTGGTTGTCAGAGATGGCCCAAAATGGCCCCTACCAAAAACAGAGACTTGGCAAACCATTTGGCAGCTGTTGCAGGGTGGCCGGATTTCCAGGGAAAGGGGAAGACACCAAATCTTAACACCTGCCCGGTGCTGGATTTCCAGAGAACCAGGAGAAACACCGGCGACGAGGGACAGACAGGAGTTTCTCAAATGGAGTCCGTACACCCTTTTGCGGGTTTCAAGGAAAACTAGGAAGCCACCCATTGTAGGGGAATCTTTATCTTGAGAAGCAAGCTTGTTTTCCACGGAGGTCGTGTCGTATTCAGGCCATAAACATGCAAGGAGTCCCCACGGTTGCTCGATGGAACTGTTTCTGGGGTTCCCTGATGCGGGGAGCTGATCTGCTTCCCTACCCGAAAGCCATCTTTGTTTCTGGCCCTTCTTTATCGTCTACTCCGGAATGTAAAATGTAATTGGAGGATACCCACGGGCTCTATGGAGGTTGGTTCCAGGAAATATTGCTGATAGCCATGTGAATAAGAATCCTGAAAAGAATGGATTGAAACAAATACATGGGTCTGAGTTTGTTGGGTACCCATTTTGGGGGCTGTCTAAAGGTAAACCAAAGGAGAACTATGCGACACACCCATACTCATTTGAAGGTTTCTGAACATTGGGGACCCCTATTACCTGGTTTCTTTTTGGTTTCCCAACTCGGTTGCTTTCTGCTCCCCTTCTAAAAAGTTTAACTTTTCGTGGTTTAATGGACAACCCATTAATTGGCAAAAGTTAAAGTCCTAACATCCAAGTAAAATGCACCGCTGCCACCATCCATAGAGAAACCCCCCATTGTAGACAAAAAAACCATTTCAACTGGAAGCTTGGAGCTCCTCCGCATACTTCAGGAACCGGCGCATCGCCAAGTTCGCCTCCGGCCTGAGACCCAACACCCTGTTCACTTCAAAGGTTCCCCCCAAAAAACACACACACACACAAACCAGGTCACCACAGGTCTGAGGGAAGGGAATGAAAGATTTTGGGTTTAGGGTTTCCTTGGACTTACCTGCAATTGATGCGAATCTGGCGAAGGCGGAAACCGGTTCATCACCGGCCCAGCAAGTTGGTCACGTGCCTGAAAGGGAAATATGGAGGGTTGATCGAAATATTCTTTACATGGGATGACCATTGGTTGCAAAACCACTAAGATAATGTGTTTCACATGAGAAAAGTTACCCATGGTCATTTAGGGGCCGAAGGGAGTATTGATCAACCCCCAAATGAAGGAAACCAAAAAGGCAAAAAATAAAATAAAAAAGGGGATTCCCAAGTCCGGCAACTCGGGTTTCTTTTCAATGAGCACGGGGAATTCCGAGCTTCCCCGACTTTTCTTTTTTTGTGGATGTGCAGCGCTTCTTAACACTGGTGTCAAACAGCACCCCGCTTCGCCTGATACCCAAACAAAAACCATAGCGCTGGTGGCCTATACACCAAGGTGAAAAAGTAGATGTCACCACTGTGTGTCCTTCTAGGGGAAATAGATGGGTTTCCCTGGTGGATGATTCAACCAGGTAAACCAGGGATCGCCCTCTATTTTTCTAGCAAAACAACCAAAAAGGACACCTATGGATGTCACAACTGGGCAAACGGGATGACCACCGAACGGGGAACTGCGCCTTTTCTACTTTCACTGGATCGCGATGGCAACCAAGGGCTTGATTCCCCATTCTGTTCAACCATCGTTCTTTTCAACCACAAATTCCGGGGGATTCTAGTAAGGATCCCTGGAAAAAATGGAGACCCCGAGACTCCAAGACGTTTTCTTTTCTGGGCCCTCCGACTGCTCGGAACACCAAATGGCATAGTAGGGGTCCCTGGCGAGCACCGGAGGCTGCTGCTCGCCAGGGGTAACTTGTCCCGGGGAAGAAGCAGCAGGTTGGCGTTTCAAGGGGAAACCCATCATGGGGGTTCAAAAAATAGTCCAAATGACCGAATGGGTAACTTGTCCCATGTGGTTGAAATGTGGGTTTACCCAATGGTCATCCCATGTAATTCAAGGACCTTTTGATCACCCAAATGAATGCTTTTTGGGTTCCAGAAAAGTCTGGTCGCTCGCCCGATGTCATCTTCGATTGCTCATTGAGGGGAATGAGAGTTACAAGCCCCGAAACAAAGGCACCTCTTTTGGGCCTTTTGGAAATGCACCTCCATCTCGGGTTTGAGGGAGGGTGAAATAAACTGCGGCACGCCGAACAAATCAACTGCAAGAAGCTTAAGGTAGAGGTTCGAGCATCTGCACACAATACATTTCCAACCATGTGACAGTGCCTCTTTTCAGGGTACGCCACCTCCAAAATGGCGGTTTCTTTTTGGTTTTCCCCTCAAAAAGAAACACCCCCAAAGTGATAATTACAAAACCTGAACTGCGGGAAAATTCCCGGATCCATGCGTGTCGTGACTTGTGGCCCTAACGAGCACTGAGGCCTTCATTTCAATCCAAGACCGCCGTGAATCGTGGAAACGTTTCCAGGTCCGTCCGCGGCAAGAGAACATCCAATTAGGCCTGTATTTACAAACATGTGTGGCCATGGGTCAAAAGCCCGTACCCCCAGTGAACATCCCAATCCCCACTAAAATAGGTTCTAAAACGGGTGGTGCACAAAAACCACGAAATGTGATCCCATTGGCTTTGACTCGACCCACAACCACTTGTCAACCTTGAACATCTGGAGGACCCCATTTGAGAAACCAAACCTTCCCCAAGATCGCCGGCCAGCCCAAACACCCCAGGTAACCCTTACAGGCCGCTGGGAAATGTCGGGGAAAAACTCCGAGGGAGGCTTGGGGGACAATGAATTGAACCTCCGAGAATCAAGCTCCTGCCACGAAATGACAAATATGATCTCCTTTCGAAATAAGCCAAAAGAATACCAACTCAAGAACAGGAACCGCAAATGGAGTTTTCAAAGAACCTGCAGCCGACTTCCTTGGAGCGGATGCTCCTTTCAGGGGGGTCCAAACATATGGCGCAAATACGCCTTGCTCAGGGCCTAACCCCTCGTTGGCTGCTTATGTCTGCTTATGTGTGGCTTATGTAAATGAATTTATCCTGAGACCTAGAATCCCCCACACAGTGCGGACAAATAAAGGCTATGTTGCGGCACCAATGCCCACCAAAGAACGAAAGAAAGCCGGGGGGGGGGAGTTCATGGGACACAACTAGTTGAGCTGAGCCATGTGGGCCCAGCGCCTTCATGCCAACGAATTTACCCAAAGCAAAGAAGGTAGTTGTAGCTTGCGGTTGCAACATGATATGGGTATGTGTCCAAATTGAAAAACGCCACCCCAAACGAATGTGGTTTTCTCATTGTCTTCCCTTTAAAAAGGAAGTCCAGTTCACAAGTGGACGCAAGCGCACGTGTGAACCGCGATAACGTCAGTTCGCGTCGCCCTGTCTGTCTTGACAAGTGGAGACATTGGCCTCAGCAGGTCCCTTAGGCAGACTAGGCAACCATGATCAAAACATGGCCCTTCAGACAGTCCTTTGACACCAGGGTAAGATGGCTACCCTCAACAAACACACACCACCACACAAACATTCATGGAACTTGATCAAAGCATGGGCCTTCAGGCGGTCTGAAATATTGATCCTGTTCTGGGCGCCTAACCCAGTTTTCCCTTGGAAATCCCCGCGTGTTCCCAGGCTTCGCAGACTTTTTCCCAGGCTTCACCGCGATGTGCGAAAATCGCTCGGCCTCAGCAGGGCCTCCTTGAAGGTGAGGCCCTTGTGCTTCCCAAAGCTCAGCCTGGGGTTTTGAGCTTCGGTAGGAATTGGAATCCACGAAATGGTACTGGCTCCTGGAGGAAAACGGTGTGGAGGAATTGGTTCCTGGAGGAAAACGGTGTGGAGTGTGGAGGAATTGGTTCCTGGAGGAAAACGGTGTGGAGGAATTGGTTCCTGGAGGAAAACGGTGTGGAGTGTGGAGGAATTGGTTCCTGGAGGAAACGGTGTGGAGGAATTGGTTCCTGGAGGAAAACGGTGTGGAGGAATTGGTTCCTGGAGGAAAACGGTGAGGAGGAATTGGTTCCTGGAGGAAAACGGTGTGGAGGAATTGGTTCCTGGAGGAAAACGGTGTGGAGTGTGGAGGAATTGGTTCCTGGAGGAAAACGGTGTGGAGGAATTGGTTCCTGGAGGAAAACGGTGTGGAGTGTGGAGGAATTGGTTCCTGGAGGAAAACGGTGTGGAGGAATTGGTTCCTGGAGGAATCGGTGTGGAGGAATTGGTTCCTGGAGGAAAACGGTGAGGAGGAATTGGTTCCTGGAGGAAAACGGTGTGGAGTGTGGAGGAATTGGTTCCTGGAGGAAAACGGTGTGGAGGAATTGGTTCCTGGAGGAGAAAACGGTGTGGAGTGTGGAGGAATTGGTTCCTGGAGGAAAACGGTGTGGAGGAATTGGTTCCTGGAGGAAAACGGTGTGGAGTGTGGAGGAATTGGTTCCTGGAGGAAAATGGTGTGGAGGAATTGGTTCCTGGAGGAAAACGGTGTGGAGGAATTGCTTCCTGGAGGAAAACGGTGTGGAGGAATTGGTTCCTGGAGGAAAACGGTGTGGAGGAGTTGGTTCCTGGAGGAAAACGGTGTGGAGGAATTGGTTCCTGGAGGAAAACGGTGTGGAGGAATTGGTTCCTGGAGGAAAACGGTGTGGAAGGAATTGGTTCCTGGAGGAAAAATGTGTGGAGGAATTGGTTCCTGGAGGAAAACGGTGTGGAGGAATTGGTTTCCTGGAGTGTGGAAACGGTTGGAGGAATTGTTTCCCTGGAGGAAAAAACATGGTGGAGAATTGTTCGGAGGAAAACGTGTGGAGGGTGGGTAGAATTGGTTCCATGGAGGAAATGGGTGTTGGAGGAATTGGTATCCTGGAGGGAAATGGTTTGGAGTGTGAGGAATTGGTTACCTGGAGAAAACGGTGTGGAGGAAGTGGTTCTGGAGGAAAACGGAGAGGAGGAATGTGGTTCCTGGAGGAAAACGGTGGTGAGGAATTGGTTCCTGTGGAGAAAACGGTGTGGAGGAATTGGTTCCTGGAGGAAAACGGTGTGGAGGAATTGGTTTTCCGGAGGAAAACGTTGTGGAGGATATGGTTCCAGAGGGAAAACGGGGTGGAGGAAAATTGGTTTCCAGGAGAAAACGTGTGGAGGATTGGTTCCTGTAGAAAAACGGTGTTGAGGAAATGGATTCCTGAGGAAAACGTGTGGAGAATTGGTTCCTGGAGAAAAACGGTGGGAGGAATTGGTTTCCTGGAGGAAAAACGGTGGTGGAGGATTTGTTCCTGGAGGAAAACGGTGTGAGGAATTGTTCCTGGAGGAAAACGGTGTGGAGGAATAGGTTCCAGGAGAAAACGGTGTGATGCATGGTTCCTGGAGAAAACGGTGTGGAGGAATTGGTTCCCTGGAGAAACGGTGTGAGGAATTTGGTTCCTGGAAGGACAACGGTGTGGAGGAATTGTTTCCGGAGAAAACGTGTGAGGAATTGGTTCCTGGAGGAAAACGGTGTGGGAGAATGGGTCCTGGAGGAAAACGGTGTGGAGGAATTGGATCCTGGAGGAAACGGTGTGGAGGAAATTGGTTCCTGGAGGAAAAGAACGGATAGAGGAGGAATTGGTTCTTGGGAGGAAAACGTGTGAGGAATGTTCTGGAGGAAACACGGTGTGGAGGATTGTTACCCTGGAGGAAAACGTGTGGAGGAATGGTTCCTGGAAAAAGGGAAAAAAAAAAAAAAAACTCAGTGGGAGGCATTGGTTCCTGGAGGAAACGGTGTGGAGGAATGGTTCCTGAGGAAAACGGTGGAGGAATTGGTTCCCTGGAGAAAACGGTGTGGAGGAATTGGTCCTGGGATGGCCAACGGTGTGGAGTGAATGGTCTGAGGGGTGGTCTTGTGGAGGGAATTGTTCTGGAGGAAAACGTGTGGAGGAACTTGGTTCCCTGAGGAAAACGGTGGGTGGGGAAATTGTTCCTGAGGAAAACTGTGAGAATTGGTTCCCTGGAGGAAAACGGTGTGGAGGAAGGGCTTCCTGGAGGGATTGTTCCCTGAGGAGAAAACGGTGTGGAGGGGAAATTGTTTCCGGAGGAGAAAACGTGTGGAGGAATTGGTTCCTGGATGAAAACGGTGTGGAGGAATAGTTCCTGGAGGAAACGGTGTGGAGGAATTGGTTCCTGGAGGAAAACGGGTGGAGGAATTGGATTTCCTGAGGAAAACGGTGTGAGGAATTGGTTCCAGGAGGAAAACGGTGTGGAGGATTTGTTCCTGAGAAAACGGTGTGGAAGGAATTGGTTCCCTGGAAAAAACAACAAAAAAAAAAAAAAAAGGGGAACAAAACCGGGGGTTGTGGAGAATTGGTTTCCAGTAGGAACACGGTTGTGAGGAATTAGGGTTCCTGAGGAAAACGGTGTGGAGGAGCTTGGTTCCCGGGAGGAAAACTTTCCTGAGGAAAACGGTGTGGAGGAATGGGTCCTGGAGGAAAAACGTGTGGAGGAATTGGTTCCTGGAGGAAAACGAATGAGAGGAATTGGGTTCCTGCAGGAAAACGGTGTGGAGGAATGTGGTATTGGTTCCTGGAGTAAAACGGTGTGGAGGAATTGGTTCCTCCTGGAGGAAAACGGTTTGGAGGAATTGGTTCCTGGAGGAGAAAACGTTGTGGAGGAAATTGGTTCCTGGGAGGAAAACGGTGTGGAAGAATTGGTTTCCTGGAGGAAAACGGTGTGGAGGAATTGGTTTCGTGGCGAAAACGGTGTGGAGGACTTGGTTCCTGGAGGAAACGGTGTGGAGGAATTTGTTCCTGGAGGAAAAACGGTGTGGAGAATTGGTTCTGGAGAAAACGGTGTGGAGGTATTGGTTCCAAGGAATGAAAACGTGTGGGGAATTGGTTCCTGGAGAAAACGGTGTGGGTTCCTCCTGGAGGAAAACGGTGTGGAGGAATTGGTTCCTGGAGGAACGGTGTGGAGGAATTGGTTCCTGGAGAAAACGGTGTGGAGGAATTGGTTCCTGGAGGAAAACGGTGTGGAGGAATTGGTTCCTGGAGGAAAACGGTGCGGAGGAATTGGTTCCTGGAGGAGAAAACGGTGTGGAGGAATTGGTTCCTGGAGGAGAAAACGGTGTGGAGGAATTGGTTCCTGGAGGAAAACGTTGTGGAGGAATTGGTTCCTGGAGGAGAAAACGGTGTGGAGGAATTGGTTCCTGGAGGAGAAAACGGTGTGGAGGAATTTGTTCCTGGAGGAAAACGGTGTGGAGGAATTGGTTCCTGGAGGAAAACGGTGTGGAGGAATTGGTTCCTGGAGGAAAACGGTGTGGAGGAATTGGTTCCTGGAGGAAAACGGTGTGGAGGAATTGCTTCCTGGAGGGATTGGTTCCTGGAGGAGAAAACGGTGTGGAGGAATTGGTTCCTGGAGGAAAACGGTGTGGAGGAATTGGTTCCTGGAGGAAAACGGTGCGGAGGAATTGGTTCCTGGAGGAGAAAACGGTGTGGAGGAATTGGTTCCTGGAGGAGAAAACGGTGTGGAGGAATTGGTTCCTGGAGGAAAACGTTGTGGAGGAATTGGTTCCTGGAGGAGAAAACGGTGTGGAGGAATTGGTTCCTGGAGGAGAAAACGGTGTGGAGGAATTTGTTCCTGGAGGAAAACGGTGTGGAGGAATTGGTTCCTGGAGGAAAACGGTGTGGAGGAATTGGTTCCTGGAGGAAAACGGTGTGGAGGAATTGGTTCCTGGAGTGGAGGAATTGGTTCCCCAACCATTCTCCGAGAAACACCTTCTTTTTTGTCGAAATTGTTTGGGAGGTGTTTCCGCTTAAACTCACGAAGAAAAAAGTGCTACTGTTTCCTCATGGAAATTCACTGGGAGCCGTGATACCAAGTGGACCATCCTTGTGACTACTTTGCAAAAGACAAAATCGGGAATCCTAGCTGTTTGAGGATTCCATTCTGAGCCTCAAACCTCCTTCCCCAGGGGAAAAAACATATATAAACGTAGAGGCGATGCAGTGGTTGTATGTCCCATTCACTCCTTGAGGGTAGACTGCCTGATTCTACGGACTCGAGTGAGCGGTCAGTGTTCGCGGTCATGCACCGCAGCAAGAAGTTAGCATTGAGCCCCCTGCAAAGGAACTCCCTCATTGGGGAATTGGCCGTCAATCTTTTGTGAGGTCGCATTTCAATTGCCGGATATATAACGTGTACATGGGTTTGTCGCAAAATTAGGTGACCAATGGTGACCCTGAAACGGTTGGCTTCCTTACCTTTTGGTTTCTCTTTCAGACTGACCATTACCAAGCACTTGTTGTTCAACTCGAAGCCCGTACACAAAGGGGAACACAAGCAATCGTTTGTAGAAGATGTGAGGATTGTTGGCTCACATCTGGACACAGAAAACAGTACGTTCTGACTACTTTCCGTATACCCCGGGGGGAAAACTTCTTGTTTCGGAGGAGGCCCCATGTTTTTACCAGGGCCATTGTGGTTTCCCATGAAATCTGGGAACCCCAATCAAGGGACCTCCTCTCGAGGGTTCTGGTGAGACACGGGTGTATTTTTTCGGGATGCCGGGATACCCATGTGCTTTTTGGCCCTAACAAAGACACGTCCACACTGTTTGCCGGAGTTTGTAACCTTCATGAGGGGAGTAGCTGCCCCGTGGCAGGGGTTTACATTCCAGAAAAGAATAGTGGCCTCCTTTCCGTCCATGGTTGCATCGCATCACATCACATCACTTGAAGAACATAACATAATATATATATATATATATATCTCTCTCATATATATGATATATATATATATATATCATATATATCATATATATATATATATAACCCCCCAAAAAAAACAAAAACTAGACCACGGTTGGCCCGAAAGCAGAACATCGCAAGCGAGGTCGGCCCAACGCTGCAGGATGCGTTCTTTTTCCCTACACGAAGCATTCGTGAAGCAAGCGCGAGACAGCACCAGGCAAGGTGCTCTGTGCAAGTTGCTCTGTGCAAGTTGCTCTGCGCAAGTTGCTCTGCGCAAGTTGCTCTAGGCAAGGCGCTCTGCGCAAACTGGTCGGTGCAAGTTGGTCTGCGCAAGTTGCTCTGTGCAACTTGCTCTGCGCAAGTTGCTCTGCGCCTTTAAAATGCAAGTTGCATCTTGCGACGCCCGCCCGCGGACCAGGGAGGAATCGAACCCGCGACCCGCCGGTTCCGGGAGCAGGCGCGCGAACCACGAGACAACTCCCGAGGACCAGTTCGAACAACAAAAGTCGCAAAAAAAGTTTTTGCACCTCGACCTCGTTTTTGCACCTCGACCACGCCGATCCCCGCCTCGCGCGAGCACCGCAGAAATCGCAAAAAACCATCGGTTTTTGCACCTCGACCACGCCGATCCCCGCAGAGGGTCGCGCGAGCACCGCAGAAATCGCAAAAAACCATGGGTTTTTGCACCTCGACCACGCCGATCCCCGCAGAGGGTCGCGCGAGCACGCAGAAATCGCAAAAAACCATGGGTTTTTGCACCTCGACCACGCCGATCCCCGCAGAGGGTCGATTTTCGTGTAGTGTCGTCGGCACTACCCCCGCCTTTTAAGCAAGTCAATTTTGAACTCCTTGCACTTGCAACTTGCACTTGACTCCTTGCTTGTTTCAAGGAGTCATTGCAAGGAGTCATTGCAAGGAGTCATTGCAAGGAGTCATTGCAAGGAGTCATGCAAGGAGTCATTGCAAGGAGTCATTGCAAGGAGTCATTGCAAGGAGTCATTGCAAGGAGTCATGAGAGCCATTGCAAGTTGCAAGGAGCCAAGTGCATGGAGTCAAGTGCAAGTCGCAAGTGCACGGAGTTAAGTGCAAGTTGCAAGTGCAAGTGCAAGGAGCCAAGTGCAAGGAGCCAAGTGCATGGAGTCAAGTGCAAGTTGCAAGTGCATGGAGTCAAGTGCAAGTTGCAAGTGCAAGGAGTCAAGTGCAAGTTGCAAGTGCAAGGAGTCAAGTGCAAGTTGCAATCCTTGCCATGACTCCTTGCAATGACTCCTTGCAATGACTCCTTGCAATGACTCCTTGCAATGACTCCTTGCAATGACTCCTTGCAATGACTCCTTGCAATGACTTTCATGATGATGATTCCTTGCAATGACTCCTTGCAATGACTTGCATGATGCTGATTCCTTGCAATGACACCTTGTAATGACTCTCATGAGAACAACTCAAGTGAACCCAGCGGAAGAACCCTTCGCCATGCTTTCGGGAAAAAACACATGTAGCCCACAGAAACCTGCCCACTTTGCGGTTGGAAAGCCATCCATGAAAAGGTCTCATTCGGCTCGGGGCGAGGCCAAGTTGATGGATCCGTTTGGCCCGGTCCTCGGCTTCCTTTGCGAGAAGAATGACCTTCAGAAACAAGTATTGTATCAGCTTAAATGGCAAGTTGGTCATTTCTTTTTACCAAAATGGCACCTTGGCAAATAGAACCAAAGACTAAAACCTGCGGTTTGCCCCAGTTGTTCAAGTTTGAGCCACACCCAAATGGCGAATAATGGCGAGTTGGTGTACTTTCAAAGCAAACGTCATGAACACAGGAGGTTTGCAGCTGTTCAGCAATGGATATTACCTGATTCTAAAAACAAAAACACCTTCTCCTGGAAACGAGGCGCTGGACCGCTAGGAAGTTCTAAGGGGCATCCCCTGATGAGACAAGAACTCCATAATAGAAGAGGACCCTGAGATTCGCCAAGTCTCCACACCCCCCCACACTACAGGGCTCAAATACGTCCGTGCCTGTTAAACATCACCCTGCCCAAAGGAAGCTCAATCGAATTCGGTTGGAGTCAGGGTGGTTCCCCTTGAACAAATGCTGCTCCCAAGAAGTCCGACTCAGTTTGGCGCGCAGCCAATCTGACCAGGCCCCTGCGCAAAAGAGTTCTTTACAGGAGCGTGGTGCATTCCGTCGAAGTGAATTTGCAAAAATGTCCCCCTGAAAAGAAAACAAAATCCAGTATTCATGGACTCCGTAACCAGGGGAAGAATTCACCAATGGAAGCATTTGAACACCCAGCTTGGGGCGTCTTGGAGTTGGATACCATCGCCCGGCCTCTCGTCTGGCAAGACCTCCTTTCTGAAGGCTCGGCCCCTAGGCACACAAGTGGAAACGGGTTTGCACTGCCTGGCAAACGGCAAACCAAAGGAACCAAACAAACTTTCTCTCTGCCCGTTTGAAATTTTGAGGATGTTGGAGAGAAACATCCATTTTTCAACCCGCTGAATTTGGGGGGGGGATTTCGGCGGACATGCGTTGGCAAACCCTACAAGTACCACAGAAGATGCCTACTTGTCTTGACTTGGGGCAAGCTCCTCCCAATCAACTCGACAAACCCTTGCATTTCCAGGGGGGGGGGGCGGGGGGGCCGGGGGGGGGGGGAGTGGAATGGGGAAGCTTTGGCACGGGCGCGGTTTTCGAGGCCGCCGGGTTGCTCCCTTCCGGGACCAAAAGCTTGAGCAAAAGCTCGAGCTCACCTTGTGAGATCATCTTATGGAGAAGTTTTTTCTTTTGACTTGCTGGTGCAGCCAGGAAATGAGAAATGAGAAATGACCCCAAAAAACCATCCTGGCAAAACTCGAAAGCTTTCGGGAATCCCCTTCCGGAGAACATTCCAATCGATTCCAATTCCCTACCGCAAGCAAAAGCTCCGGCTTCGATTCCCCAAGGCCGCTGCGATTTCAGGTCCGGCTTGTCCGCGCGTTCCTGTGGAGTTCCGCGTGTGCGCCCGGTGTCTGTTCGGGAAAATCGATGGCCACGGATCGTGAAACAAGCAACCAGGAATCGCCAATGTTCTACCAAACAGCAAAGGACATGGCGCAAACTTGCAGTGGAAAGTCGGCTTGGGGTCTCCACACCATGGCTAAGTCTATGGGGGTATCTGGTTGCTGGAGCAGTTGCTGAAATGATATGTCTCGTTTCCCGGAGAAAAAAAAAAGGACCCTTTTGGGGGAAGCTTCTGAACTAGTACCAAGGAAACCAACCCTTTGAGATTCCCTGTTCTCACTGAGTCAAGCAAGTTGTCATGTTGATGTTGGCCTTCAGTTGCTCAGAATTCGTCCTCCAAACTTTTGTGAAGTTTGAATTGAATTCAGGAGAGTAAGCACTGGGGAGGTATCGCCTTCCCAAGCATCTGCGTATTGAGATTCTGGTCCATGGTTAGTCAATGTCGACCCCGGATGTATACGAGGTCCTCCAGTAGAGAGATTCGAAAGTAGTAGGGGAACCCCCCCAAAAAAAAGGGTAAAAGGCTGGGGGAACCTAGTATAAACGAGAGTTGTTCTGATCTGGGGGGGTCCCTTTTAGTGGGGGTCATCACTTTAGGAGGGAACCCCATTACTAGGACGAATTCTACTTAGATCCCTGTCCTTTCTGGATGCTGCTCAAAGTAGGGGGTCTGTATATTCAATCCTAGGTGGGTTTCCCCTCAATCAGCCAAAAGGGGCAAGCGGCAAGCGGCAGTCCAAACCGGTTCCCCGCCTCTGATCTGGTCGAGCAGGACTGCCTCCGAGACGAGGAATAAAAAACATCTTCCCCGAGGAAAACTGGGTCCAGTTAAAGCAGTTTGAAGGGGTTCCAACTCAGTTGGATGGTCTCAAAGGAAACCACCAGTTGGATCATTCCAACTCATTCCCTGAGCATTTGAAGCATTTTGAAGGGGTCTCAAACTTAGCCTTGCTGGGAGTAGTGTATACAGTCACCACACTTTGGAAGACAGTTTTAGTGGTTGATTCAATTGCCAATCATCTGGGGCAGGGTCCACCATCACGCTAGATTGGCCAATGGTGACATGTAGCACCAAGCGGGGAAATACAGGGAACCCTGGTCAAACCCAACCCCTCCCCCCTCCCACAAAAACATAAATGGATCTCTAGACCTTCTGATGCCCTCGGAAGCAAGGCTTGGCTTGGTTGCCTATAACTGGAGCTATGTTTGATAGGGCCCAAAAGGCTATGTCATGTACACTTCAAGAGATGTCCGAAAATTGAGGGGGAAGGGGGTTGATGGTGTTGTGTTTCTATGGAAATGCATCCCCAGCCCGACAGCCCTGAAAACGTGTAAAAGTGGCGAACGTCACTCAAAAGGGGCTCGCGGAGGGGTTGAAGCCCAGTTTGTTCCTGTGTTGGCAAAACCGCTGTGATGTTGGGGTCCGGACTGTCTCATGTTGACACCAATTATGAATAATCTATTATATGTGTCAAAGCAAGCGGGACCCTCACAATGGTGCCTTTTAAACTAAGCCGTCAAAGCTCGGGTTTGCCTTCCGATGTTTTATGCAAGTTGGGCAGCCAACCAAACTTTCTTTGCCTCCGGCACCATGGGTCTGCACCCACCAAAAAATGGCCCCAAGCTACACAACAAAACCAATGGATTTCACCAAAGTTCAGGGTCTCCGCAAAATGCTTACCCTCCCCCAGGCTAACATGGAAGCTCCCAGGACCCCTTTGGAAGACTTGGTTCCATTTGCAGAGGCCTTCTGGGAGCTTCCATGTTAGTCTGAGGGAGCGTAAACTTAGGATTCTCGCTCGGTGACTTGCAGCTGTGACTAACCTCCGGGAGACATCACAAGTTCTTCTCAGCGACCGGAAACCTAAAACCCAACGTGAGGAAGCATGACTTTTGTGCGGCGCAAGCACCAAACATCTGGTTTCACAGACTATCGAGCACGCCAAACATGTTGAGTGGCGGAGACTTAGATACGAGTATGATGTAGGTATAGGTAGAGATAGAGACAGAGATAGAGATAGGGATCATCGACTAATGAACAGTCGTGTGTTTCAAAAGAAGCCCGGGTTTGTGCTTCAAGTCAAAAAGTTATCTAAGATGGGCAAACAAACCAGTTGGACTCCTTTCTCAGCCCTTAAATTGAAACTGCGGGGGGGGGGGGGGGAGACTGGCAGAGTGGAGGGTGGGACTCCATGAATTTCGTGGGGAACAACAAGTTCGGGGCTTGCCTAGCAACCGTGGGGTTGGATTATCAATTGTTCAATCTTGGCAAGCAGGTGACGTGACAGCCCCGCTTCTTTCACCTTACAAACCCGCTGGGTGCAAAAATGAAGGGACTGGAAAAATGAAGCTGCGACACCAAGTCCCCTTTTCCAACTTTGGGGAAATTCAAAAGAGAATTGGCCACGCACCCAGCCTTCAATTTGTGGAGGAATGGCCAAAACCAAACGGCAGAAACAATGTAAGAAGGAAACACGTGCAATACCAAGGTTACAAATCCTCTTACAACACAGGGCCAGATTCAGATCACTGCACAAAGCTGTACAATTTGTTGCTGGTTAGCAGGGAAAAGGGAGGAATACCAAAGAAACAAATAATACATAATGTAACAAGCCAAGTCTACGGCAATACAAAAGTGAGCTACCCCCTGCATTTTTCACATGGAACCCACAAAAACCGACGTTTCGATCTCTTCAGTCCGGCAGCGAACATAAGTTGCTCATCCAAAGGAGTCCGCGCCGCTCACCACCCCAACTCGAATCATTCTTGCGTCGCCTGCGTGGCAACCACCCGGAGGCCTGGCGGAGGCCCGTCGGCGCTCGGGTTGAATAACGATTGACGCCGTGCAAAAGTTTTGACATGTTACTTTCTAAAGGGTAGCTTCCCCCTTCTTTCCAGGGATCTTTCTTTCCAGAAAACCAACAAAAAACACGGAAACAGCTGGTTTTCGAAAAGAAGGATGATTCAATGGCGGTCGCGCGCGGCTTTGGTTGGGATGGACTTGTTGCTGGACGAGCGGCAAAAGCGACATAGGCACAACCAGGCCCGAAAAACACTAACCCAACAACGCCACCCAAGCACGAACCAACAAACCCAAAGGGGGGGGGGTAGGACAAGTCGAGTCATCCAAAGGTTTAAAGGCGCTCTTGCGGCAAATGGAAGGCCCTGTAGGCCCGAAGGAGACCACGCCGTGATGTTTAAGGTGTACAGGGCTGGGCACTCAGTCGTTCGAATCCCCTGAAACTCACTTGCAAACCGTGGTAGCCATACAGCTAACCATACAGCTAACCCATTTACAGACCATGCCGGCATCTCTTCTACACGTGAAACTTGGACGAAGTGGACAACCTGAAAACTAGGGCTCCCCATATGCCATGTCCCGAACCTCAAATTGACCAAAGACTGGTGATACGTTCCGACCCAACCGAACCTGTTTCCCAATCCCTGGTAGTAAAAAAATGATTGCTTTTCGCAGCCGCATGAATCCGACCAGACACGCAGCGTCACATCATAACAAATTGTCCACCTAACTGCGCTAAGAACAGCACATAACTCTGCCCGATCTATACTCTGAAAGGCGCCCTGCAGGATGCCACTCGCACCGGTCGGCTTGGGTCGGACATTCATGTTGCAGGCCCCTGCGTGTTCCAGGTAAGCTGACGTGAACTCCTGAATGCCGCCGCCGTGGTTCCACGCGTCGCCGTCAAACGGGTCGCTCACTACTCGGGAGGCGACCCAGTCAGGTGACAGTGCCCCAATCCCGCGGCCATGTTTCGGAGTCAAAGTCGCCCATCCGTCCGCAGAACTGCTTTGATCTGTTAAGAAATGCATGGAGGTGTCTCAAAACTTCGGGAACCCCAAAATGGTTGATGTCCGTTGGTGTCCCTTGAAACCAGCCCATCCCAAGGGTACCCACAAAAAAGGACACACCCAAAGTGTTGGCCTTTTGGCATTCCTGCAATCTTTATCGAATCAAAAAGCAAACATATATCATTCTTTTGGCAGGGAGTTCACTTGCTCAGATTGATGGGTACCCCACCAGAATTGAATCAACCCCGAAGAGGGTTCCAATTATTCTTCTGCCAGGGTCAATTGTTGCACATCCACGTTTGCTTGGGGGAGGGTACGTCGCCAAGACAATTTAGTCGTTTCGTTGTTGCTTTCGTTCTGTTCGAATAAACGACAAGCGAAGTCCGGCAATGACTATTTACACGTGGAGTCCACTGACCTATGAACCTCCGGCAGGCGAATGCGCCTCGGCTTGCATCTCATCGCGAGCGAGGTGCGGCCGGGCCAAGTTGCGAATGAAATCCGCGCGGATGGATTTGCGGTAGCCACTTTGTGATAAGAGGAAATGAAATGCGGCATAAGGGAACATGGTGGGTGGCTCCATGGGTATGGTGCTTAATTTGGACCCTTTGGCGGACATGTACTCCTGCCACGTTTCAAGCCAAATGACATTGACACTGTGGCCGTTGCTCATGTCAAACCATAGGGAGGTCGATTGGTCGGACTTGAATAGCCCTGTCTCCATTCCTCCAAGCTGCGAGCGCTTTGCGTGAAGCACAAGCTGCGCGGACGCGCTGAACGGGGGGCTCCACTTCAGATACTTCATATCCTTTGCAGAAGAGTAGTCGCTTTTGGTGTGGTCAGGGAACCAAACGGAGAAGGCCTGCAAGGGTCGCAAATTTGAAATCCAGGGATCTGTGTGTGTGTGTGTGTTCCTAAAGAGGTTCATGGCGTTGGCGAACGTGCCTCCAAATGACCCGGGATGTTGGTGTGTATTCTGGTGATATGTTGCTGAGTGCAGCACCTCCTCCTGTTAAAACGAGCACATGGGTGTGGATTTTCACTAACGACCCCTTGGTGGAGGCCATGAACACGGAGACTCATGTCCACCAAACAGTTTCTAGGGTTTCAAATCTCAAAATTCATGGCCCCATGATCATGAGCATTCGCCGCTGTGGTCGCTGTACTTTGATGCCCCGCTGGGCAGCCTGACGTCTCCAGCATGGACAAGCCGCACAGTGCCATGTGACGGTCAATGAACAGCTTCCACCCCGAAAGTTGAAGAGCGAAAATCGCTGGTTGCTACAAGTGCTTTGGGCAGAATTGGATTGTGACAAACTTGAAGCACACCTCGTGGTGGATTCCATCCAGTTTCAAAAGGACCCATATCCTCCCCCCCCCCCTCCCACATAACAGATCGGTAAACGCGACTTGACAACAACAACGTCCGCTTTGGACCCAGTTGCTGGGGGAAAGGACATCTTCAGAACTTTGCGCAAGGAACCCTCCCGCTGATTCAAACAAATCCCCTCCATAGGTTTCTACAGATGGGGTCCCATATGGGCGTGAATTCTCCCACCATTTTGGACGGCTTCCCCATGCCATCAAAAAAAATAGCCGTAAATGTTCCACCCAAACGCTGCCGATGTATTTGGGCCTCAAACAGCCTGGTTTTGAGAAAATGAGGTGGGTCTTCCATCGGAATGCCCGCTGTGTTGGTAGGGTCGGATTTTGTCGGGGCCACATCAATCACATAAGCATTCGAAAATCATCTCAGCATTCAAGATACAAAACATGCAAGACATCAGATAATAATCGATCAGGCCTGGAAATCTTTATTTCACTTCCACACAACTGATTCTCCATCAAGCCAGCCAAGGCCAACTGCGGTTATGACTGGATTCCCTATTCCTCTTTGAAGCACCCCTGCCCAGGGAAACTCATCTAACACAGGCCAGGGTGATGTCAAATTGGGCTCCCCTAAACTGGGTTTCCCTGTGGCGTTTGCCATGTGCGAAGCTCTGTGACTGCACGACTTCCCAACCTTGGTATGGCAGCAAACACCTGGTTTCTGCAGCCCACTGGAATGAACAGGAGACATTGGGATGGTTGTCTGTGGGCCCACTTTGTTTGGGATGGCAAAACACTACAACAACTAAAATCACGTGGCCAGGAATCAAAGGGTTGGGTGACAGGAAACTCTGACAGGAAAAGTTTGTTTAGGGTGTTTTGGGGCGCCATTTCCTGAAGATTTTCCGTTAACCAACCCCTAAAGAAGGGAACCCTTGCCAGGAAACAAGTTGAAAAATGGGCGCGGGAAAAAGCCACTGGGCAGCTGGGTCCTGGACAAAAAAACCAATCTAGGGGACACGTCCCCATAGGGGAAACAGCGATCGGATTTTTGAAAAGAACGATGGTTGAAAAGAATGGACAAGGAATCAACCCCTAGAATCAAGAAGACTCTTCCGTCTTCCGCTTCGGTCCTGCCGGAGCTTGGTCAAAGCCTTGGCCAAGACCTGGATCTTCGTGGACTTGCCGATGAAGGTATTGCCCACCACCTCGTTCCATCGGCGACGGGCCCCGACGGTTCTGAAAGAATTCCTGGTCGGAAAATCGGATCTTCTCTGGTTCCCACCTAAGGATGTATTCCAAAGAAAGGCCTAAGTCATTGTTCAAATCGCCGCTTCATATCGGGCATCGTACCCACAATAACATGTTCAGACTGATCGGAGACCTCGGATTCCTTATTTGGGGGTCAGGGCCCGCTTTTTGTTTGAAGGGATCCGGATCCCATTTGGGTTCCACCTTCGGTGACGGGTGCCCTTCTGGGAAACCGGGTGACTTGGCTCAGCCACAGATTCTAGGCACGGGTCTGACGAGTCGAACAGCGAAATGGTGGATATCATCTGGGGATTTACGTCCACCACCCAGAGGGTTCCAACTCGTGAACCTTGTTTTAGTTATGCAAAGGTAGAGGGCACCTGTTTTGGAGTCTCAACTGAGCCGCTTTGAAGGCTGTGGCCCCAGTCGCGCCGAAAATGGCAATGCCTCACCATGCCTCACCTAAGGCTCATGGTTCCCATCGGCTGCCAGAATCTCCGGGTGCAGCCGATGGCCGACCCTCTCATCAAGGAATCTGGTCTCCGACTGGAGCTGAACTGAACTGTGGCCTCCATTTTGGTCCCCTTTCCATGTAAACCTATGTCTCCAAGTTTGGGGACCCCAAAATGGTGATGTCAACTTTTGGAGTACCAAAAGCAACCAAGAGGGGCCCCAAAGAAAGACACGCCAACGTAAACCAAACACCCGGCAAAAAAAACACCCTGCAACACGCAACAAACTTCAGGAGCAGCCGCACCTGCTTGCGCCTGGAGCCGGACTGAGCGAACTTTCCTTGAATGATGAACAGTTTGGAACACCTGCATCGGAACAAAGGACAGTCACTGAACACCTAACAAGCAAAACCTGGCATGGGTATGCCGTTTTTGAGGCCCTAGCTGGAATCATTCAAAAAGGAAGACAAATGGCAAACCACTGTTTACGACCTATCCCAATTGAAGGAGTGTCCCCAAACCAGGGCAAGGATCGACAACGGCGCAAAAGACTGGTTGGGAACCCTTCCATATTCCTCCACTAACTTCCAACTACCTATAATAGGTGTTGATCTCAAATTACCAAATGTCATGTTTGTTCCTTTCCGGAAGTGATCACTCATCTACCAGGTGTCCAAGAAATTTGCTACATGTCATGTGACAAGTAAGTTCGGATTGAACGTGCTCCCCCCCACCCGCCCCATTGTCCCGAACCCCAGATGTAGCATAGACAGGCGACCCCGACATAAGAGTGGAGTCATTGGGTACCCCCCAAAAGCGTCCTTACAATGTGGCTTACAGCTGGTACTCGGTAGTATAGGTCTGGCCCTTGAAGCCATGTGCAAACACACAGACATGCACCCACCCTCTACCTTGGAAACCGGCTCACACATTTTGGCGCCGACTCACTCAGTCTAATAAACACAAGACTTCGAGGCAAACTAAGGCACGGTGTATACCTCAAAGCCAGCCAAAAGCGGACTGGCCGAGCGGGCAACGCGAAGCGTTTACAATGAAAACCGCATTTGCAACTATGTTGCGCCCCATGAGTTGCTTCATGTTGGTTCCCTATATGTTTCTTCGGTGCTTTTGGTACCCTCAAAAAAAGAGAGACCCATATTATCCCCAACCCCCCCGCCCCTTCCCCGGGGCCGCGTGCTTTCCTCTTTCGAGCACTCAGGCCCCGGCCATGACGCCGTGACGCACAAGCTGCGTCTCCAGCAGCTGGATGATCTTACCCACGAAGGCGGGCACCGCCTGACGTGCAAGGCGTCGGCTCTTCCCAGCTACTGATGGACGAAATCCATTTCGGCACCATCTAAGAAACCCTGGAATGATTCGCATGTAGATACCAATAAGCAATGGTTTTCCATGGCTCAGGATTCTGTCCATCCACAGTATGGCAGCAACAAACCTGGCTTTCTTTTGCAGCCGTCACTGGCAACCATAGAAGCAGAAAGATGAGCATCCAAAACACCTGGCGTGTTTCTTGCAGCCCCCCCCCCACTAGTAACAATAACCAGAAAATAAAGGAAACACCCCCACTGGTAACAGTAGAACAAGAAGAATAAGGATAAAAGACAGGTAAAGGGCACTAGCGCTTTTTGGAGGAAACCGGCTGGCAAAAAACAACAACTGGTACTTGTGGTGCTTTTCTTGCTGTTTGCTGTTTCAGGCTGTGATGTGTCGAGTTGCAGTTGTGGGCTGGGGGAGGGGGGAGGTTTGGGAGGGGGGCGTAGTGGGGCGCACACGAACCCACATGCCAGTGCACACAGGTTGATGCATGGCCAATGTTGGTTGCAGATGCTGGCAAAAAGCGTCTGGAGAGCCACCTATGTCCATCCCAGCAAGCATGAATCTGGTAGAAGAGTCTCTGTGACGAGGGGAGCACGCAAACGAGCTGTAGTGAGGACTCAATGTATGGACAAATGGCGGCAATCATGCAAGACTGCATACCAACTCAGCTTCACTCTAATGTCTTTTGCTACATGCGTAGCTCCGTTTGGAGGTATGAGCTTCCCATTGAGACATGTTTCTGCCATGCGTTGGCTGCAGTTTGTTGATTCAGATTCGAGCAATTGAACTGCAACGATGCAACACTCATTCACATTAAGTGTTTTGCCATTTATGCATTCAAACAATGCTGTCCTATTTCTCCCGTTCACTGCCAAGCATGAGCCAGAAACGACAAATTGAAGAAAACTCAGGGGAAAACACGTGTGACGCAACTGTCGCCTTCAGGTTTGTTAACAGCCTGTCACGTTTTTGGAGGGTTCAGCTTGGTCTAAAGGGGAACTAACAGGGACAACACAAAACAGTGGGTCCCGTGCTCACACATCCTGAAGTGCCACGGTTCATATCGATACTAATTCATCTAGCTACGTCTCGGAATTAATCCTTTACTGATTTCAAGAGTCTCAACATGTCTCAAACCCCAGAGTTGTATCAAGGTGATGCGTAAAACATGCGCCAAATCGCTTTGGCTTCATATTTACTCCATCCTCAGAACAGCCTCAAGTTGGGATATGGCTGCGGCTCAAAAAGATGTACCAAAATGGCACCTTGGTAAATGGAACCAAAGACGAAAACCTGCGTAATCCTGCTCTTCAATTTTGAGCCACACACATATTAAAAGAACTAAAACCCGCCCCTTCAGCCCCTCTCGACCTTGCCTGCAGCTTCGAGCTGCGGAGCTGGTGCTCGATCTCCTTCTGCAGGCTGCCGTAGTCCACCTGAGTTCCGAGGGGAACCGGAAAAACCAGTGTCTGGTTCTTCAGATCAAATTCGGGTGACACGGTTTTTGCGGGTACCTCCTTTTTCTTTAAAAGAGGGGGGGGCTTTACCGGAAACAACAACAAAGCCAAGCAGTTTTCGGGATTCCCCTAAGCAAACCCATATAAAATTCCCAAGTAAAGGACCGTGCGTCTGCCTCTGAAGTTTGCGTCCTCCTTTTTTTTCAGGGCGTCTTCTGCTGGCTTTTGCCCGTTCAAACAAACCTCTAAGAGTCCAAAAGGTTTTTTGTTTTTGGGGTCCTGTGATTGGCCCAAGGGAGGGGTCAAATATGGGTTCTCATTGCAGGGATGACCATTGTGGTGACTGTGTTTTGAGGGAGCATCCTTGATCAACACTGTTCCAAAGACGTCTGGGTAGAAATTGGCTGGCAAAGGACTCGACAAAACCTGAGGTTATTGTTTTGAGGTTCGGAGCAATCCTGATTTGTGGGGTTGGTAAACAGAGAAGCCTAAAGGACACCTTTCATTTTGGTGGTTGCCCTACTTTGAGACAGAACCCATGTGGATGGCTTGGGAAAGGTTTTCCAAAAGTGGCTTAATACCGGGTTCCTTATGAGCTGCATGCCACAATCCCCTGGCTCGGAAAAAAAAGGCCCTGGCAATATACTGCATATATTTTTTCCATGACACTCATTCCCAATGTGCCACAGAAAGCACCAGTTGGGCTTTCTCCGACTGGTTCTCAGCCCAGTGGGATCTACCATAGGCCTTGGGATCCATTTTGGCTCCCCGGCGTAGGGCACATCTGCATCAGGATACAAATCTCCTGAGCAAGAAACATGTTTAGCTTGGGTGAACATGTTGTGTTTGATACTGGGGCTTGATTCAAGATACGCAGGGCTTGTTGAAAGTCGATGATTCAAAGGGTCATTTGTTCCCTGACTTGATTTTCAAACTTCTAAGTGTTCTTCACAGTTAGTTTGTGTTGGAGAATTCAAAATGCCACCGTTTGCCTTGCTTGAGCAGCGGGTTGTTGGTCCCAAGACCCATTGACTGTTAGCCGACTTATCTGGTGAAGCAATTGTTCACGTAGGCACTGACTAAAAGAAACCTCCGCAAACAGGATTTGGAATACCCTACACAAACTCAGCCGGTTTGGGCGGGGGTATGATCACATGGAAGACCTGGAAAACACTGGCGAAAACTGCCGATTGCAGAAAGCCAACACGTCAGCCTGAGGCAACTGAATTGCCGGTTTGCAGAAATCGTCCCCTAGTGTCAAACCCGTCCAACGCGGTCTAAGGTGCATGAGCAACACTAACATGCATGCTCTTAGCGTCCCGCACTAAAAAACAGCCAACAAAGAAACAACACAACAAACACGTATATATGCATATATATGTGTATATATACATATATATGCAGAACACTGTTTTTACTTCTTATTCAGCGCCGAATTACAGGATGCCTTGCCGAAAATGTGCCGAACAAGGGCTCCGATTTAGCTCATTGATACTCAATGGCTACCACCAGTTGACAGAATTGTGGGTTGGAATAAACCAACTGGGCCACAAAAAAAGGAACAATAAACCGGGCGGTTTTCCCAACGGGATACCAACCCCCCTGGCCCTCGCCCCCCCCCCCCACAAAAAAAAAGAGCTTCGATCTCCCTTTCGCTTCTCCTTAAATTGAAGGACAACGAAAACTGGGCAGACTCAGGACACGGTCGTTCCTCAGCGGTTCGGACCCAGGCCGTTGAACCCTTCACCTTTTTCTGGCCTCCGGTGTGCCCGAACATGGGCTCCCCTTGTGTGTCTTTAAGCAAACAAACCCGCAACAAAAAGCGCCCGAGAAAAACATACCAATCACAAAAACACAAACAATGTCACCGCACCTAACATCGGCCCGGCATGGCGTGATACGTATCACCCTGCTGCGGGAACTCACTGGACGTTTTGGCAAACCAAGCGCATGGCAAGAGCCGGAATCTTGGCCCACAAAGGGGTACACAGAAACATGTCTTCTGAGTTGTCATGTTTATAGCCTTAAAGACATGAAACCCGTTCGGATAAGGCCTTCAGACCCGAGGGTTTCTTTGCTTCTCTGAAGCTTCCGACAGGTTGGAGTTTGTTGCACCCATGACGGTTCGATGTTGGTGGCCTTTAGTTGGTACAACCGCTTGCTGCGGGACACAGACTTTGTAGCCACAGGTTTTCAAAGGGCCCTGAAAGGGCGTAACCTTGCGGATCAACTAAGACCCTGTGAGCCCCTTTGGTTCGTAAATGGACACCAACTAGGTCCTCCACTAGACAGGTTAGAATAAGGGTACCCTCTTTTCTGTAGTCTATTTTAGTAGGGAACCGAATCTCCCGCAACAAGGTTGGTAAAAGGGCAGTACTGGGGGGAACTCGCCAAGAGGAACCCGCCCGCGCCGACCAGTCTCGGGGGCCCGAGACTTAGAGAAACCCGGCGATGCCCGGCGATGCCGAGGGCCCGAGGGGCGGATGATGCCAAAGAAGAGCGGGAGATCGAAGGACAAGAACTTGGGGACCTAACGCGCGCGCGGCCGCTGGCCGCTTCGGTCCCGTGGAAACGGGTAAGGCATGCTGAAGGGTTGGTACTCGTCAGATTGAAAAATCGAGGTCCCCCCCCCCAAAAAAAAAGAATGTACTGGTTCTAAACCAGTACATTCTCTTTTTGTTGGGGGGGGGGAAGCCCATAAACCAAAAGGAGTTGGTAGCAGGGTGAAAGTTGATGCAAAATCATTCCCTTCATGTGCAAGCAAAGGGGATAAACTAAAATGATGGAGTTGCGCCATGCGCTTGCACCCAACGGTAAAGGAACACCAACAGGAGGCTAAGCATGTTCAACACGCTTACCACTCTGGTTGGTAACTAGGATCTTCGGTTTTACATGGTTTGTGCTGGTTGCGTAGGCCAAGCCACTTGGATTGGCCCGACCTGGCCACAAACGAAAGGTCACCGGCCGCCCAATGACCAAAACTGTACAAAACCTTCTGGAACCCATTTGGGGTTGATTCCCCGTTTTTAGTTGGAAAGCCACCAATCAACCGTGGGTTTAATCCGAACATAATCAGAGCTAGGCCCAGTTACAGAATGTATATTTTATTGTTTGCTTCACTTTGAGTCACTGGTAAAATGTAAAATGCATCTTAAGTCTACCACAGCGAACTTCATATGCACACCATTTCCAGGGCATAGGTTCTAAGTCATCTTTTCAACCTGGGCGGTCCTGACTCGAACCATGCTGCACCATGCTCTGCCGGGGGGGGGCAAACAAAACGTCCAATCTGCTGGGCTGGGCTGTTCTTCCGAAGAAATCGTGGCCCAAGGGACGCTTCCGTCAGGCCCCTTGAATGTGCTAAAAGGATTCTTGATGTCAAAGATTCACAGGGAGACACTGGAAAACCCCAAATACCCAACACAAGCTCACTTCCTGGTTGCTTAGAGGGTTGCATTCCAATTCGATGGCTGGTTGGTTGCTCTTCCTGGTTGTTCTTCCTGGTTGGTCATGTTGGTCGGTCATGTTGGTTGGTCATGTTGGTTGGTCATGTTGGTTGGTCATGTTGGTTGGTCACGTTGGTTGCTCATGTTGGTTGGTCATGTTGGTTGGTCACGTTGGTTGGTCATGTTGGTTGGTCATGTTGGTTGGTCATGTTGGTTGGTCATGTTGGTTGGTCATGTTGGTTGGTCATGTTGGTTGGTCATCTTGGTTGGTCATCTTGGTTGGTCATGTTGGTTGGTTGGTCGGTCGGTCGGTCGGTTGGTTGGTAGGTGGTTGGTTGGTTTGTTGGTTGGATGGTTGGTTGGTTGGGTTGGTTGCTTAATCATGTTTGTTTGTTCGTTTGTTGCTTGCTTGCTTGCTTGGTTGGGTGGATGGTTGCTTGCTTGCTTGCTTGGTTGCTTGCTTGCTTGCTTGCTCCCATTGTTTCCCATTGTTTTTTTGGACCCAAACAAAAGGCGCGACGTACTCCAAGTCGATCCAACTGGGACCTTTACGTTGGAGTCCCGCAGCGCACGGATCAGCGTCACGTCCTTGCGCACGTCCGGTCGGGCCGATTTGCTGGTGTTTCTTGCATCGAAAAGGTGCCTCAACGCAATGAAACAAACATAAAAGGCCCCCAAAATAACATACCAATACGAATGGAGAAGCCTATACAGCCTAGTGTGTGTGTGTGTTTGTGCGTGTGTAGGTTGGAGTTGGTTCTGGGTCCGTTTTAGGGTTGGTTTGGAGTTGGTTCACAGTCGGCTTAGGGTTGGCCAGGGTTGATTTGGGCGTTTTGGGAACACCCTGCCGCTCTGTGAAGTGGTTTAGGGCTTGCTTGCGTTTGGCTTGGTCTTAGTTGGGTGGCGTGCGTCAAGGGTAGCCTGATTTTGACCCCTGAACCACCGCCCATGAAGGGTACTTGAGAATGCACTGCGAAAGGCCGCGCAAAGAGGAAACTTGCTGGTGCGATAGGCAGGGAATGAGAAATGGAATGACCCACTCCCTGCATCTCTCGCAACCCGCCGCGCCAAAAGCCCACGCCTTCCATTTGGTTAAGGCCCCAAGCAAAAATGAGAAAATATGTCCAGTCGTGATGAACTCCTTTTAAAAACCAAGAAGGGAAAATAACTAAATGATTATCTATGTATATATATATATATATATGTCTTGAGCAAATGCAGGAAGCCCATGCCCAGCCGCACCAACCCCCCGCCCAGGACGCGGCCGCTCGAGCGGCCTCCGAGAGCTCCGGGAACTTCCGCTTCAGCTGCCCCGCCATGACCAGCACCGACTTCACGGCGCGCATCCCGAAGTCGTAGTGGTCCTGGCGGAGGTCACTTCGGTGACCCAAAAAACCCGGCGCCCGAACGATACATCATGGGTGCTTCTGTTTTTGGGGGGACCCCGAAAAAGAAAAGGTCGCAGTCCCCGGCCGCCCGAGGTGACCCAAAAAAGAAACGGCCGGCCGAACGGCGTGCTGAATTTTTGGAGACCCCTGCCCGGAAGTGACACCAAAAAAAAAGAGAGCGGTGGCCGAACGGCCATGCGACATACATTTTAGGGGACCCCTCCAATGGAATGCTTATCAAGGAGGCTATGAGGGGGGGGGCTACTTCAATTATGCATGGGGGCTACTTCAATTATGCATGAGCACAGGAGTCCATGATCCAAGAATGGGTGTCGTCCCTTTTGGTTTCCCTTCAAACAAATGGGTACGCTCAAAAAAAAGACAGAAGACAACCCCAAATGATCTTCCCAAACAGGACTAAAGTCCAACTCGGGGATTGAGGGGTCGCAGGTGCGACCCTTTTGGTTTCCCCCGGGCCATCTAGACTGACATCCTCAAAATTCTAAATGTCGGTACTGGAAACCACCCCCAAAGCTGTTTTGAGGACAATCAAAATGATCAAAAGGGACCCGGTTGAAAACAACCCCACAAAGGTGACCCTCAAGAAAGACATGCCCCTTTACCCAAACTCCGGCTTGTGCAGCACAGGGCCCCCAAACCTCGACCTGTGTTTGAACGATTCGACGGAACTGGACTGACCTCAGGGATGACCGCAGTGCCCGGCTCTGCTCAGCAAGCAACAAAATCACTGCTGAAAGTCCCCCGTCCCGGGGACAACAAGAAACTGCACCAAGAAATAGCCAACTTTCTTTTTGAAGGAGCCTGGTCCCCATTTCATCGCAAAACTCCCGTGCTCCAATTTCAAATAAACGCTTTTGTTTTGGGGTGGGGTTTTAATGTAATGACAACCGACAAACAGTACGAGGCATTCGCCATGGAAACCCCAACTATACAGACCACGCATATGATGTCTCAACAAGCTGGCGCATTTCTCCGCGACCGCCGGAGTGAGAGGTTCCGGAGTCCTGCTTGGACAGCTGCTCGCTGGAGAGGCTGTAGAGGTTCACCATCTTCCGCGCCAGGCCAGTAGCTTCCCCGAAGCCCTGCGCAACCGGCGGCTTTTGTTAAAGAACATGTCCAGGGGACTCCCCACCAGCCTGTGCCTAAGTAACCTGGACTGTTTTTGGCCAGGTTCAACAGAATTGCAGGGAGAGGGGTTGCGGAGACATGGAGGTTCATACCGCCCACACATTCCTTAGAAGCTTTGGTGGTAAAGCATCCATACCTCCAACACCCATACCTTACCTGGCAACGCCCTTGAAACGAAACCCCACCCAGCCAAGAGCCAACAAGTCGCCTCTGAGTAGAGGATGATCTCTGCAATGAGGCAGTAGTCTGGAACCTCAGCAAATGCATGCGACACTCTGATAGCTTCAGCTTGGTCATCAACTTCAAGGGGGGGCTTGCTTTAAAGGCCGGCACAAGGCTAGAAATTTGGTCCCCAAGGGGAAACGATGTTCTCCCCTTGTGTGTTGGTCATCTGTTGAAGTCTCGGAGCACTCTTACAACCGCAGTCACATGTTCGGGCCCCAACTGACGATTCCAGTTTGGCACGCCTCGACGAATTCAATTCCATACGTTCAGGGGGGAAGCAAACACAATCGCCCGCAAATTGAGGTCAAACTCCACACAAAAGCCTCCAATCTCCTTTTGATCAAAGGGCCCTTTTCGGGTTTTGGGCGAATTTCGCATCGGCAGTGGATCATGGTAGAAGCGCGTCCCCAAGGGACCCCTAACGCCTTTGCAGCTGTGAGCAAAGAATGAGAGGAGGCGACTGAACATAGGTGTCCTTTTTGGGAAAATAGATGGCCCTGGTAATTTATTGAACCACCGGTAAACCCTGGCATTTGCTCGTTTCCGGAAATTGCCCCCTGGGCGGGTTTCATGCTTTGACCACAACGTAGACTTGAAGCCAGTGGTTGCCTTCCACAAAAGGCCAAAAGGTTAGGTTTCTTGGCTTTAAGCGACACCAGAGCAACCGAAAACAGGCAATGTTTTGGGGGGGGGGGGGGGGCGTTCGGGGGAGTCCGGAACCCGATTTGTCGCTTCCTTCGCTGGGCTGCTCGAAATCCGCACTCCGACGACAACAAGGGAAACCATAAGAACTTGCTTCGGCTGGCTATTCAACAACCCAGCCGAAGGCTCATGTTATCTTCGGATTACTCCGGAGGTCATTCTTGTCAAAGGAACCGCCTACAACTCTAGTTCTGGGATCCTTCTTTCTAGAAAACCTCCCGAATCCCAGGGAAACGGCCGGTTTTCGAAAAGAAATATGATTGAACAGAATGGGGAATCAACCCTTAGAACAACAGGTCATTTCCTGACAAGCGAAACCGTGCACAGGCGCGAGATTGCCGCAAGGCCGCATCCGAATTCACATGGCGAGTATGTCTGTTAAAATCAAAACAAACCAAAAAAGGAGGCCCCGCAGTGTTGCAAATTTGTGGTGCCCCTGGTGTTTTGAGACAGGCATCCAGATCTGGAAGCGCATGTTGCACAATCCTATTTTGGGGCCAAACTCACTTCAGTGGGTCGGCAAACAAAAAGCCCGAACGTCTGGCTTTCCAGCTAGAAACATCGTCACAAGACGTATCACCCCCTTGCAATATGGCATGGAAGGTAAAACGCTGCTCAAAAGGAAATTTGTTACTCCAACCATGAGGGTGGTTTCGGGTTCCATGCTTCCCTGCAGGGGAGCAGTGTCCACAAACTGGGCGGCGAGTCTCAGCAGCCGTCTCAGCACGGGGCCATCATCGCCACTGGCCGGAAGAGCGATTTGAGGTTGTCCTGGGCACGTCCTTTTGGGTTTCCCTTGAAAACCGAAGGTGAACTCCAAAGAAGACACGTATGGGTCTGTCTTGTTAAGGAGCCCCCTGTTTGTTTGGTGGTTTTAAAGGAAAACTGGAGCGTGGCATTCATTCTTCACCCGACCAGGGACTGTAGCCAATCTCAACCTCGGATTGCGCCGGAGGACCGTACTAATCAGGGTGGTTCCTCATGTAGTAAGGAAATGTATTCTAGGGTCCTCGGGTCCTCCTCGTTGAAACCCGAAGTCAACATTATTACATTATTGGAATTCTGAGGGTCAACCCCCTCAAAATAAACCTTCCATTTGCCCTGGAAGAAATGAGAAAATATATCCAGTAGTTGTCTAGTCCCTTCAAAATCAAAACAAAACAACAAACTGTCAAGCAAATGGTTTTGAACCCTCAGGAAACATAGCTTTCATGTTGTGCCGTGGAATTTGGTGCACAACACAGGGACTTGTGTTTTCGCCGAGCTCTATGTGAATGGGAACATGAGAAGTCTCCCCACTTGAGGTCCGCGTGTGGAGGAACCCCCAGTCCCGAGGCCGCACGTGAGGACGGGCTGAAAAGCCATACGAGACTCCTTGGGGTGACAGCAACCTTCAGAACTGCCATTGAATCTGTTAAAGTGATTGCCTCTACTGCCTGTCTCCTTGACTGGTGTCATGTAGTCTTGAGCTATGTAAAAGCACAAAAAATGTACCAGAAGAGCCGGCAAAGCCGGGGAGAAGTTTCAAACATGATAGTTGTCTTTATCTGTTTCTGTCTTTCTCGTTCAGCTTTCTCGATGTTGTGTTTCTCTTCTTTCTCTTGATCCTCTGTGTTTGTCTGTTTGGTTGTTTTCTCTTTTTGCCTCTTTCTCTCTCTAGCCATGACCAACCCACCAACCAACCAACCGACCGACCGACCGACCGACCGACCGACCAACTAACCAGCCAACCAAACAACCCAACCAACCAAACCAAACCACGCCAAACCAAACCAAACCAAACCAAACCAACCAACCAACCATGACCAACCAAGCAACCAAGCAACCAAGCAACCATCAACCAACCCAGCAACCCAGCAACCCAACAACCCAACCACCCACCCAGCAACCCAGCAACCCAGCAACCCAGCAACCCAGCAACCCAGCAACCAACCAACCAACCGACCGACCGACCGACCGACCGACCGACCGACCCACCAACCAGCCAGCCAGCCAGCCAGCCAGCCCAACGGTCCGGCAGTTCAGCACGTCCGGCATAGCCGGGGTTCATGGTAATGAAGACCTGACGCTGGCTTTGCTTCGGGCTCGGCTCCGGCTTCCTGAGGGCGGGGTTGGGCAATGCCTCCTCTTAAAAACGGGCTGTTAAAAGGGGTTGGGGTTGGGCAATGCGCCCTGTTGAACACCAAAACTGAGTGACGATCTAGCACACATTCGGAGAGTAGCATTTGGGCTCCATGTGGCAACTGGGGTTCCCCTTTGAAGGGGCCAGGGTATGGCAGTTCACTCCAACTTTGCAACCGCCTCAAATTCTGAAAGGAAGCCCCTAAAAAATGGTGGAATTTTCAATGGCAACATGCCGGTGTTGGCGTATTGGGAAGGACGCGTCCCAGAATAGGACTTGTTGGCTTCCCATTCAAAATAATCTGACAGGGGGCCCAAATTTAAGCAAACCTCCATAATTTAATCGTTCAAAATTGGGTTGACCCCCAAAGGGCACCACATCCCACCGCAACAGAGGAAGCACCGGCGTCTGCCAATATATCAGGTTCGCCCCTACTCATTCTCACGCCTTCCCTTGTTGTCCCAAAACCAAAGCTGCTGGGACGTGCGATGAGGCTCACCATCGGGAGCGCAAAATAGCGCAGACTCAAGGGACTCTGCCCGTGTCATGATCATAGGTGTCCTTTTTAGGCCAGTCATAGGTTAGACATAGATGGCACTGGTATTCCATTGACCAGGGCCAACTATGCTTCCGAAAGGTCACCTACGGTCACTACCTTGGCCCACATCTGGGGTACAACAAACAAAACATGGTTTGGCTTTGTTCAATATTTCGTCCACCCAACATGTTACACATTTGTTTGGAATTAGAGACAGTGGCTTGGTCAAGTTTGGCCGGATGCCCTTGACGAAACGCAGAAACCCGAACTCATGCGGCTGTGGCCACGGTTTCAAGATTCACTCGACTACCCTTCTTTGGGGGTCCCCTAAAAAGCAAAATTGCCTTCCAGGACACACCCTGCGAGGTTCCATGCGAATTGGTGGGAGGGTAGTCAAAAATCACCATGAAAACAATGTGTGGAAAAATAATGCTTACGCCATTCAGGAGCTTCATCAATCATCTATGGGCAGGCCATTCTTTCGATAGGGGGGGAATGCCCTTGGGGGACATGGATTTCTGGGTTCACGGATTCGCCCAAATCGTCTCCAGGCAGTGTTAAATGTGGAAGATCGTTGCAAACTCCATATGGCCATGGGTCAAAATCCCGTACCCCCAGTGAACATCCCAATCCAGTGGTTTTGACCCACAGCCATAAGTGTGAACACCAAACCCCTCTCTTTTCAGTTGGCCATCTTGAAGAGGGAACATCTCCTCCAGTTGTTTTTGTTTTTTTTCTTTTAAAAAAATATTCACACCCAAAGTGTTGATTTTGTGCGTTTTGTTTTTTCTGCGTCCTTTGGAAGGCCCGAACAGTGTGTGGGGCCGGCAACACTTACCTCACACGGGACCGAGATCTTCGCGTTCCGCGCGCTGGGCTTCCTGACCCCGAAGCGGGGGTTCAGCGGAATCTCGCGGCCCACGAACTCGAAGGTCTCCTCTTTTGCCGCGACTGCGACACCACGCGAGATCCGGCCGGTGTTTGTTGCCCGTCTTTTGGGGGAGCGTCCCCTTTTGGCTTTTAGACGTCTAAAAGGGGAAACTTTTAGGGGCACCAAGGATTTGGGGGAACGTCCCCTTTGGGATTTTGGACCGTTTGAAAGGGACACTTTTAGGAACACCACTCATTTTGTGAGGGAACCCCTGGTTTTGAGAACCCATGTGGGACAATTTGGGGTTGTCCGTCCAAAAGGATGCTTGCCTCTTGGCCTCCCTTTCAAAAGTAACCCTAAAAACATCATCAACAAAATCGCACACCCATATGCTTTCCGAAAGGTTGTCTTAGACGAACCACCGAAAGGTCCCCACACTATTGAAGCCCAAAGGACAAAGCCACCTGTTCCGCTGAAAAGATTGGCAATTTAGCTGGATCCGTCGATATCTGAGCATCGCTGAAAGCACACTGCTTTTCTTTCAGAAATCACCATCCCTAACAACCCTCAGCGAAACTGAGTGTTTGACCATCCATTTGCAGGTGACAGACTCCCTTTGACACCAACAAAAAAATGGACATATTCATTTCAGCAAATGGTCGCCTTGCCCCAAATCGGGGGTTTGGAGCTGAGTCGGTGGTTTGGAGGTGCGGAGCTGCGCCTAGGCTCTGTTGAAAGCAACTTTGGGCTCTGGTCATTCGAGGATTCTGTGAAGAACTGGCACCTGGGCTTTTTCTCAATTGCCCAGTCTGGACCCACCAACATAAAAGGTGATCACCACGAAAACTGGAAAAAAGGGGGGAAGCCAAAAGGTCATTTCAGGTTGATTCGGATTGGGCGAGTGAGTTTGGTATTGGTCTTGAAAAGAAACCCCTCTAAAAAAAGGCACCGCTGGCGCAGAGCAATGCGAGTTGTGAAGGGTACAACGGGAACGTGAGTTTGTCACGGGTACCCTGTTCACCTTCGTTCAAAGGGGAAACCTAAAGGATCTCCTCAACTTTTAGGTACACTCACTTCCTGAGATGATGGGCCCAAGAAAGTCGATTTTTAGATCTTTTGGTCCCCCGATTTTGGCCGCCTCAGATCTTCGTGACTCCTTGCGTGCGCGGATGGCGTGGGTCACTGTGAGCATCTGCTGTGCGATCACCTCGGGATTTGTTAGGTCCCAAGGAAAGATGTACTGCAGGTGGCTTGTGGGGAAGGAAGGGATGAGGAAAAATTGCCATCCTCATCATTAGCATCGCCGCCACTACTCAAAGCCAGACTAAAAGAACATATGAATCAACAGCTGCTTCAACAAGTACTTTTTTTACTCACTGGAAGGCAACCAGTCAAAAAGGAAAGCCAAGTCTGGCTGTTTAAGATGAATCCTAATGTCATTATCTAAAGTTTAGCTTCGGGCAAGCAAGTCAACCCAATTCCAGGCCACAGAATTCCTTCCACAATTCCAAGTAGGGCATATCTTCACCAAGGTCGGTGATGGTGAGTGCACGGATTTGTCGTTGACACATGTTTGAACATGAAGACAGGCAGGGCCCTACCGTAGGATCCCCAAACCCGTCCTTTTGGTAGGCTCCATGAATTTCACCCCTCTTCCAATGCAAGTCTTGCAAATATGGACAAATCACATTACACAGCAGAACTCCTAGAGAGACCGATAAAAACCGGGGCCTCAGTACGTTGGAAACCCTCAAGGAAGTCTTGCTTGAGGTTCAAAGGAGCTGGTCCAAACGAGTAGGTCTGGTAAAACCAAACAATTATTCGCTCCTTCGTGGTTTCGTTGACATTAAATCTTCAAACATGCTTGTGTGCGAGGCCCCTGGAGGGGTTCTCCATTGGAGGGCCCGGTCTGCAGAGGGGTCATGAGTCTTGCTTTACAGCAAACAAGACCAAGCCAACTGCGACACGCCAAGCGAAGACAGCGCAAATCGGACAAACCGGCTCTTGGGCCCCCGTGCAACCGAACTAATCTCTATTCAGGGCGTCAGCTAAGCGCGGAAGTGCACGGATCGCAACAAATCTCAACGAGTTGTTCCTGTGCATTTCTTAGATCCCCTTTTTGTCCGGTGTTTCTGAAATCCCTTTTGAAGCACTGGGTCCAAATCCTTGGCCCGAATCGGGTCACACCCTGAGGATTCGCCGAGGGGCGCTCAGTACCTCCACCTGGATCCGATTGAACTCGTCGAAGCAGGCCCAGGCGCCCGCCTCAAGGAGACTTCGAGCGAGCCATCGCATTCTTTACCCAAAAACTCGGCAGCCAGGGAAACTCGGACCTACAATGGATTGGACCAAGATGTTGAACGTGATTGAAACCAGGGGAAAAAAATGTTTGCAGCCCTGTGGATGGTTGCAAAATCCGCAGCGATCGGCAGGCAAACCTCACATTTGTCCGTTTGGTTTTCAAGGGCTCCCTTGGTTTCCTGCTATACAGGTAAATGGAATCACTTGGCTTCTTGATAGGCCCCTTTATGACTTGACCAGTCTCGGAGAAAGCATGAAGGCATCTGGAAAATCACATCTTCAATCGCCATCAACAGGTTTGACGGATTTATTGCCGTTGAGAACCACAAATGACTTTCCCTTGACTTAGTTTGGTTTTGAAGTATATACCCCATTCCATTTTTTGGGCCTTACCCTTTTGGGGCGCTCAAGGGGCAAAGCAAAACCAGGCTCCATTTTGATTTTTCGATTTTGGAGGTTCCACATGTGCCCACCCATGAGCCGACTGCAAAGTTGCAAGTCACAGGTCTGAAACAAGAAACACGAGGGTTGCCTGTAACATGAACTTCGGATTCCTCCGCAAGAATATACTACTCAGGCAAGGTTTTGCCTGTAGCATGCAAATCATTCAGTTTAGAAGGATTTCTCTGATTCGGATTTCCTCCGAAGTTCACAGCACCATGGCAGCCTAACACCTTCTGTGTGGGTTCCATGTGAAGCCCCTCTTGAAAAAACGGGTGTTGCAACCCAAAACACTGGCCAAAAAGCACAAGAACTCTGAAAGAAAAAGGAGGCGTGTAACACGTCCAAACCAGCGAGCCACTGTTCGGAAAGGTGCACACGTTCAGACCCGCCTGTGCGAGTCCGCTGAAGAACCGGCCCATGATCTTGTAATCCAAACCTAAGCATCAAGGGATTTTGTCGATTCGATTTGGTTGCAACTGAGGAACCAGGTTTCGGCGGGGATCAAATACAAAGCTTCTTCTCAGATTTGGGCGTGGCTCAAATTTATGAGCTAGGGCAAACCGCTGGCTTTAGTCTTTGCTTCAAATCATTTACCAGTGTGCCTTTTTGGCACTAGTTCCTTGAGGGACAGCCATTTGATTGTAAAGATCAAAGATACTTTGCTTGGGCTGAACCTCATATTTGGGGGGGATTGGGATGTGTCTAATCCCGCTTGCCTGCTGGACCGACAAAAACCAGCCTTCAAAACCCAAAGGAGCATGGGATACTGCATGCCTCGGACGCATCTAGATCCCCTCCTCGCGCCCTCGCTCACAAATGGGCCCGGGGTAACTTTCGAGCGCCGGGCCATCTGAGCAGTTGAAGACGATCACGGGTACCGCTAGCGCCTTCCCCAAGTCCTGCGTGCAAGTCGTTCCTCGAGGGAACCCAAAGCCGTGCTTTGTGTGCAGCAAGGGATTAGGCTTCGACATCCAACAGGGGCTTCACATCTCGGACACCTGCCGAGCGGCGCCAGAAACAGCGGCTGAACTTGACTGGCCTTGACTAAAGGAAGTTGGGGGTCGGTTTGGGCAAGAGGCCCGAAAGGCTGTGATTTTCACGGGGTTGCCCGCACAAGTGGTTGGTTGCATGAACCCCCTACCAAATTCTGATGTCCACACCGTCCCCAAGTGAAATTCATACTCAGCCATGGTTCAAACTCCTTGTATTGAAGTCGGGTCCTGGCTCGACTATGAATCTGTTCCTTCATGGCCCATCGTCCCTACAGGGTTGAAGTTCATGCCACAACCGTCTTTCCCGGACGTCCGGGCATCGCTCCTTGGTGGTCTCGGTCTTCCCGGTGCCCGCCGGGCCAGCCGGCGCGCCTTTGCCGGTAAGGCGGCCGGCGCAACTTCTGACCAGGGCCGAGGATTGGCTCATCTCGATTTTCGTTGCGTTCATCCCAAAGATGCTCGGTTGCTATTGACCCCCCGGCAAACAGTTTTTAACTTTTGGGCTTAGGGGAAAACCCCTTGACTTCCCCAAAAGTTAAAGTCTAAAGATCCAACCCAATAGCAGCAGTCAAGAATGGGCGGGCCGCAAGGTTTTCATTGTAACTCAGATGACCGTGTGCTAGGAACCATGCCTTCCAACAAGACAGGTGCATCAGCTGGGTCCCATCGATGGCAATGTGTTCGCCAGAGGACCTCCTGTTTTTAGTTCAAAGGGGAACCCTTCCCACAAAAAAGGACAACAGGGCGCTGCTGGGCAACTGGGGTAAGCCAACGAAGCCAAGTCGGCACCAAACCTCGTTTCAGGCCCCTTGCTGCATTTTGGTTCATGGTGCACGTCCCGCCAGATCGACAAGCACCCAAGCTCCAAAAACAGTACGGGGGAGGGGGGGGGTAAAAAGGGCACCCACCTTTTGGGACGCGCTTCATTTGAAGGGTTTCACCCAACGAAGGCACGCCCAGTCACCACCATGACATAGGGATTGTTTGGCAGGTAGATTTTGATAGGTTCGGAGTTACCGACCAGCCCGAAAAAACCACCAGGTTCTGATTCTCTGATCCAAACCACCTAGCTCTGCAAGTGTCATCCTATTGCAGGTGCTCTCCCCGGCGATTCCCCACTTCCCCACAACAGCCATGGGTTCAAATCCAAACCAATCAGAACCACCAAACGGCAAGCTGATAACGCGGCCTGCCTAAGAGTGGTACCTCGGATTCACCGAGGGTCAGCGACACCCTTCCGTGGGGGTTTCCCCGACTGACTTCTGTTGGGGTCTTTGGTTAGGACCAAAAGGGGATGGATTCCAACTACAAGGAAACCCCAGTCCGCCCTTGGAGGTTCTGGTTCTTGGGGGCTCAGATTCGGCGGTTGACTGCTGGCGTCCCGCTGACCACCAACCCCGAAAAGGGTTAAGGCCTTGGCCCCCATTGGGCCTGGGGGGGCCCCGCTGACAACCATCATTGGGAGATTTAAGTGGCCGAGAAAGGACGGCGCGCCTCCGTAGTTCAAGTGGATGGCGCCGGTGAGTGTCATGTAGCACCTGAAGGCGAATGCCGGCCCCAGGTTGCGCAACTTGGCCAGGGCTGAATGCATGTCTGTGTCTGGGCTGTCCTCAGATCCCCTGGCTAAAAGTTTATAGCTTTTCGTGGGTTAAACGAAAACCCACCAAACCCTAAAACACTTAAACACCACCAAGGTATCTGAATCCCTCGCATGAACCATTAGTTTAAGCCATCATCACTGCCATAGTGTCGGGATGCCAGCCACTTCTGGCCCATCAGCGTATGGACGAATCCCTGCGGCCTGTGAGGTAAGGCTCCCAGACCTATTTGGCCCTTCCCCCTCAGATCGACATGGAAGCTCTCAGAAGGCCACTCCAAATGGCACCAAGTCTTCGAGGGGTTCTGGGAGCTTCCATGGAATCAATGTGGAGAGGGCAAACATCACAAATCACCAAATGGAAACTCACGTAGCTTCCACCAAGCCAACTGACCTCACCAAATGGAAGCTCACATTCTTCACCAAACCAATTGACCTTTCCAACAGGTGCTCAAAAAGCCACGGGTAGAAAATGGTTGTCCCCTGGCAGCGGATATCACTCCAACCTTTTGGCCTGAGGTCCGGAGCGAGCACTTCCGCTGGGCAAGTGATGGAGTCCCTAAAGGGTAGCTACCAGCTGGGTGGTGGAGGGTTTCTTAGGGTTCCTTAAGGTTTACTAGGTCCTCCACTAGAGAGGTTAACAAAAATAAGATGTTAGTAGGGGAACCCTGCCCCAAAAAAAGGGGGTAAAAGGGCACTACTGGGGGACCCAGTTCAGGTTCTGTAGGGTTCCTTTTGGAGCCTCAGAGAAAAACAAGGGGGGGAGGGACGTCATCAGGTGGTAAAGGAGTCTACCCAGGGCCATGTAGAAATCAAGAAGCTGCACTTTTGGAATGGACCATCTGGCCTTCCCCAGAGATTCCATCTACCTGTATAGTTGTTAACCAAGAGAGCCAGCCTTTAGTCTAAAAGGAAAATGGCTGGTTACCATCTAGATACTCGGATCCAATATGTTCCGCTGCTACCTGGGTTTGGATTTGACTCTGCTGGGCAAATTGCCATCGCTTTTCCTGTTCTTGTCAGATGCCTGCCGCTTCAGCCGCCAAGTAACCATGGTAGCTTCAGGCAATTGATGGCACACGCGCCTTGTGAGCAAGGTGGGGCCAAGTGACTTCAACTTCTTCAAACCGCTTCAAGCTCCAAGTTGCCCGTAAAAATAACAGCAAGTGCAGCACACGTGGCCTCAAAGCCAATTCGCCCCACCCCGCCCCTTGACTGCGCAAACAGAAAATTCCAAGCCTTCGGAGCGACCGATGCCTTTCGAAGCCCTTGGCGTAGGGGGTATGGCTTTATCACAAGTCTGCGGGTCCGTGGGTCAACGAGCGTTGCATGACTCTTGCAGACGTGCAAGATTAGACCCTCTGATTTCATGCGTCATTGAGGTACCAGTCAATTCAGCGTAGTCCCCTCAAAAGGGTCCAACAGATCTACTGACACGCAACTGTCGCTCCCCCAAACAAAAAATGCGGATTCGATCGACCCCAGCGCAGCGCTGAATCCCGATTTGTGACGTCTGAAAGGCATCAGATCGACCTATGCTCCGCCCAGAGGATCACAAAAACAGTGTGCTAGTAGGAGTACCCCGTAGGTGTTCATATCCGGCTGACCTGCCAAACAAATAACTGTCGCGGACCATGACTCACTTCCTGAGTGAATTGGCCCAAAAACGTCCAAGCTTGTTATCTACCACTAAAATAGTAAAAGGTTGTTTCAGTCCAGGAACTCGAGAAAAGGATGAAGATATCTACCACAAAGCTTGAAGGCCAGCCCCTCGCCAACTTAGTTTCTATTGTGTTTGTTCCTCCTTGTTGGGCATAAACAACAGGCCTTTGGGTCATACAAGTTGACAGGGGCCTCTACAAACCCCCAAGCATTGAATGCTACGGCCTCTTTCGGTGACTTCTATCACAAAAATGTGGCAGGATAAAGGTGGATTAATACTGTGGATGGACGAAATCCTGCACCAGCTAAGAAACCCTGGTTTCTGATGATTCCCTTGTAAATACCAACAACAAATGGTTTCAACCATGGTTTCAAAGGTGGTGCGAAATGGAATTCTTCCATCCACAGTAGGAGGTTGAATTGGGGACGTGGACATCATGTCCATGGACTTGATGCCCAGCCTTTCTTGAAGGCGTTCCGAGCCATGGAAGAACTCAAAGTTCACTTTAGACATCACACCACTCAGACTGTTCACATGACACATCGGCAACCACCAGTTGGATGCTTCTTTTGGCTGCGGGGGGTTTATATGTGTCCCAAAAATATCCCGGTGGATCCACTGGGGATTGGAAGCGGAACGTCAGTGTCCAGAGCTGATTGCCAGCTGCCGTCTGCAAGTCTCGCGGCTTCAGGGCGGTGCACACAGCAGCTGACTCGGCTGATGGGAGAAAGCTTCTTAAAAGCTGCCAGCGAGAAGCGCAGGGTAAGGCGACCGCAAACAAAAACTGCAGGTGAAACCAAGTTAAGAAAGTCTACCCAGGGATCCAGGGGTGCAACCCCGTACAGCCCTAATATAAGCCATGGTCAAACTATGACTCTCTGTTGCACTTGCACCATGGCAATTTGCAATGTTGGCAGGAACCTGCTTCAAGAAGAATGGAAACTGTCATTTGCCAACACGGTCGCATGTGTACAAGAGCCCAGCAAAACACAAAGCACCGGGAAAGAACGATGGTTGAAAAGCATGGACAGGAACCAAACCAGAAAATCATCAGAACAGTGCAGAACCGGTCAGGTTCTGTTCATTTGGACTGGGACTTTGCCCTCCGCCTTCGCCCTTCGCCTCTAAGGGTGGCCAGTCAGTTGCGCCTCACCGAGGACTCCTGGTGCAATGCCGCTGAGGACCCCCCAAAAAGGAGGTATATCATGTTGACCTGGGACGAATTAATCCAGGGATTCATTCTCCCCAAAAAAACAAATAGATGATGCGTACAGTATGTATATACATATATTGATTCTGGCCCATGTGATCCTCCCTGAGCAGCATGGAAAACCACGCGCCACTCCTTTGATTTGCCGGGACCCGAAAGAACCCGGCAGGGCCCTACAGCAAGTAACCAGGGTACCGACTTGAAGAGAAACCTAGAGGTAAGCTCTCTGGTTACCTGCTTTCGTGGTAGCTATCCACTTTGCAACTAGATCGAACTGCACCTGAAAAACTTCCTTTGGACAGGGTCACTTGTGATACCGGACCACCGAAATGTTCAACTACTAAATTCCATTTGACGGGGCTTAATGGTTCCACGAAATATCGCAGAAGTGGTTCGAAACCTAATTCCCACATATTCCCACAGCCCTGATACAGTGTTTGCAACGACTGGTTTTTGGGGACATTTGGGTAGGAATGGACAAAATAGGGACCCTTTGGTGGACATCAAATTCGGTGTGGAGTTGTGTCCACCAACCACTTTCCACTTTTCCGAGGGTTACCCATTAAAAATCATAGACATATGAGGCCGACGGCGGCATCCGCCATGCGCAACCACGCGCTCAAGCAAACGGGTGGGTCTTTTGGTTGCAAGACCCCACAAATAGTGGTTTGCCTGCTGGTTCCCATTAACCATATGGGCGTGGGTCAAAACGACAGACACCCTGTTTTGGTATCCGCCCCCTTTTGTGCGAAAAGAGATTCTGGGGGGGTACCAGGGTTTTGACGCGCCATGTTGTGGCTCGGTCAGTCGACATGTTCTTCACCGAGCGCCTTGCCGAAGCCACGACTCTTGCGATGTTCCTGTGGCGATGTTGGCCTGACCCCGGATGAATAAGCCCCTGTTCAGTACTATGGGGGTGTCCATGGTTTTTAGTGGGAAGTCATCACTCTTGGAGGGGAACACCCCCCAAAAAACAAAACAGGGGATAACAAAACCAGAAGTCAAGACACCAACACATAATGTGGCCTGATTTTGTTTCATAGTCAGGCAACCCGAATATGTGTATATATAATATATCTACACTTCGGCGAGTGGTAAGAATGAATTCAACAACCGGAAAAAAATCAGATAACACCCCAAAGAAAGGAGCCTTCTTCTGGGGGAATTTTCGCTAAGATACGCCCAGATTTGGTAAATGAACATACAACATATGCGGAGTTTTCTCAAAATAGGGATCCCGCAAAACTGTTGGTGTCCTTGTGGTGTACCTTTGAATACCCACCAAATGGGGGTCCACCGTTTTGCGGAACCCGCAGATGGATCCTAACATGTGTATTTCTCAATTTTGTGGGTCCCGTCTTTTGGGTAACCAAAAGGAAACCAAACCACCGGAAGTGTGGGGGTCAAAGATAGGCACCCAAAATGTTTCACACCTGCCCTGCTGGTTGTAATTTTCACCAGAACCGAAGACCCTCAATTTTCTGAGACCGCGAAGTCTTCAGCGGAGACTCCCACCCCGCTCGGTCCCTCTGCTTGGCTCAAACCTCAGAAGGCGACTTTGCGCGCAGAAGCGCAGCATGCGGCATGTGTTGCAGGTATGTGCGTATGTATATTATGTATATGTTTATGTATGTGATGCATGTTCATGCACGCAAACAATGGGAAGAACCAGAATACTAACAATAATAAGAAGAAAACGAAGAGGAAGACAATGAAGAATAAACACAAGAAATTATTACAGTAACAATACTAGTAATCACAATACTAAGTCCTGATTATACTTATTGTGCTTACTTACTATTTTTGCTATGATTATCATTATTGCTCAATAGCACGCACGCACACACACACACACACACACACACACACACCCACGCACGCACGCACGCACGCACGCACGCACGCACACACACACACACACACACACACACACACACACACACACACACACACGCACGCACGCACGCACGCACGCACGCACGCACGCACGCACGCACGCACGCACGCACGCACGCACGCACGCACGCACGCACGCACGCACGCACGCACGCACACGCACGCACGCACGCACGCACGCACGCACGCACGCACGCACGCACGCACGCACGCACGCACGCGCACGCGCGCGCGCGCGCGCACGCACACGCACACGCACACGCACACGCACACGCACACGCACACGCACAAGCACACGCACACGCACACGCACACGCACACGCACACGCACACGCACACGCACACGCACACACGCACACGCACACGCACACCCACACACACACACACACACACACACACACACCCGGACCCATGCTCCAAATACCAGCTTTTGAAACAACCACGTATTTGGACAACCGAGTTTTCTATACAAAATACTTCCTTTGAATGGTTTGGGGTGACAAGCTGAACAACAGCGAGTATCTGGAGGAAGTATATGTATATAAATATATGTCTGCTTTTTGTATGATGTACATGTGTGAGCTTGAGGAAAATTGTAGACCCAAAGCCGGCACCGCAAATCAGTGGCGCTCCAAACATGTGCCAAATGCACCCATAGATCCCTAACCTCACAATCCAGAGACCGAGCGACTGAGCTTAGTGGCTGGTAACCCTGGTAACAACTCAGGTACCGTGTTTACGGTCACAAGTCCCCAGGTGGGTTACATTGGGCTTCCACCAGGGTAACGTATTGCTCTTAGCATAAGGGATTCACGACTCCCCCACCCCCCCAAGTAACCTGCCGCTCACTAAGCGACAGGGATAGTCTCAAGAGGGGAATCCCGAAAGGTAGGTTCTCTGTAGTTTCGCTTAAAAAGAGCTTGCTTTCAGGTCTAAGAACTGGTGCCGTTGCCTCAGAAGGTTGCACTTGAAGGCAAACAATCGCAAAGGACTAGCCCCAAAGCTTCTTGCGAATAAACCGAGGGAACCCTTCAAAGGAAACCAGTTGGATGGTTCTGTGCGGGGTTCTGACTCATTCCTTGCCTATCGATGGGTTTGCTCAAGGCGAAACCAAAGGGGAACCACTCCAGACTCCAGGGCAAAAGAAAACGCCACACCACTTTCCCCCCAGTCTCGCGTTAAAAGAGCCCCCTGTTTTTCTGGTGATTTCTGCCACCAAATACTTCTGTGTGCCTGTTGGGGGGGTTGGTTCTGGCATCCAAAAACGACACACCAAATGCTTCTGTGTACTTGTTCTCCTTTTCTTTTTTGGGGGGGTCGTTTTTTTTCCTGCTTTTTTGTCCGGAAAACGTGGACCCAACACCAAACAAATCGCCCCCTCGCAGGCCTCAAAACGCCACACGCCCGCCGAGGCGCGTTGGACAGATCCGCGCAGGCCTCCTTGACCCGCTTCACCATGGCGGTCTCGGACTCCCGGACCCACTTCCTCGCGGGAAGACAACGGGGGTTTTCCCCTGCGCCACTTGTCTACTGCACCCCATATGCGTAAGTGTAGCTGGGTTCTTTTTCCTTCCGTGCCCGTTTTGGGTAACTTTAGAGGGGTCTGGGGCAAAACCCGCTTTTCTGGAAAAGTTTGGGGGAAAAAAGTTTTCTGGGTGACTCTAGAGTGGGGTGACTCTAAAACCCAGCATGAAAGGACACCTTTCTGGGGACTCTAGAGGGGTCCGTCCTTCCTTCAAAGGTTTTGGGTACTAAGAAAGAACCCCCAACTCTTGCGGATCCTGTCCACCTGGGTCTTTGGAAGGCTTTGGGTCTGGGCATGTAAATGCTTTTTGAGGCAAGAGGTGCGCTTTTTGGGGTGTCTGATAAGGGAAACCAAAGGCAACCCACCATTTAGGTCCCCATATTCTGAGTTGACGTGTCTCGCTGCAGCCCACACACACACACATGACCCTCGGACTTCAAATTTGTGGTTGTCTCTTTCGGCTTCCGACTAAGGCTGAAATCGAACACAGTCTCCCGTCTGGGGATCGGTCGCGTCGGTTTGCCGGACAAACGGGACCTGCGAAAGCTGGTGCCACTTTTGGCCGGTTGAAAAAAAAAGCGAGGAAATCCGAAAAGAGCAAAGCGTAAAAGGGGCAGTTGAGTCTGGCAGGGGAACCAGGAACATGATCAAGGGTAAAAGGGTTGATTACCCATTCTTTCCAACCATCGTTCTTTTCGAAGACCGGCCGTTTCCCTGGGTTTCGGGAGGTTTTCTAGAAAGAAGGATCCCAGAATGGGGAAGGTAGCACTAGAAAGGGTAGTTTCATGCAGGTCTGGGCTTTGCAGGTATGCATGTCTACCGGTAAAAGCTTGTAAGGCAGTTCATGGCCCTGTGATATGAGTGCTGCATCTCCATTCCGGACCAACCCGGGGGAGATCCGATTGTATTACAGAAGTGGGGGGCAAAAAACGAGTGATCCCGCAAGCCTGCTCCAAAGCCATACCTGAAACTACCCCCAGACTTCCAGCGAAACGAAGGCTGCACCCGCCTGGGATCGTAGTAGGACTTGTTGGGCTTGTCCTGCCCAAGGTTTCAGTCGAACCCCAGTTGCCGTTGGGACAAAGGGCACGCGGAACCCTTTTGTCAGGACTCCCTATATTTCCCCTTAAAACATCGCCCACCAAGGGACACTCACCTTTCATGGGCCAAATAAGTGATGTTTAAGACCCCCAACAAGGGAAATATAGGGACCCCTGCTTGTCGTTAAAACGGAACCCGCTCCGAAAAGAGAAAGGGCACCACCAATCTGCCGACATCTACGCACATCAATGAATTAGGGTTCGCGCAGGTCCGACTTGGTTCACATCCATTGCCCGGAGGTATGAAAAAACCGCTCTCCACAAGTTACTCTGTATTCGAACATGCAACCCCAAAAGGTAGTCCCACCCAAAGGCAGATGCTCCAAAGATGAGGTATGAGGATTTGTGGACGCTCCAAGAAAAGACTCTGCAGGGGACTTGTGCAGTTCACCGGCTGGAACTCAGAAAATTTTGAAATTATGCTTTTTGAAAGCTTGCTAGAATTGGTGAAGAGCCAATAGGAAAGGCAACGGCCCCTCCACCCCCAGGAGAAGCTCTTGGAACCTTCTTAGAATTCTGAGCTTTCTGCTGAAGGGCGGCCCGGATGCTTTGTGCGCTTTGAGGGCCGATTCCGACCATGTAGAGCAGCAATGCCACTATAGCATCTCGGATGGACAAAATGTGGACTGTTGATAAATAAAACCCTATAAACGCTAGGATAAACCCCAAGTGGTGCGTGGATTTTGCCCATCCACAGGAAACAAGAGGAACACTGTTTGGCCTTGTTTGGGGGACCCCTTTTGGTTGCAAAGGAAAACCAAAAGAGAACCAATTAGGCTGGTGCGTGGAACCTCCCGTTTGCTCGTGTGCGATCCGTTGCTTTGTGGCAAAATTGATTACCCGAGTTTCATGTGCCATCCGCCCAGGCACCGGCGGGAGCCTTTGGACTGTCACAAACAGCCGTCACTCTAGCGGTACCTTCCCCATTCTTTCCAGAATTTCTTTCTAGAAAACCTCCACAAACCCAGGGAAAACGCCTGGTTTTGGAACAGAACGATTCTTGAAAAGCATGGACAAGGAATCAACCCCTACTTTCCCAAGCTCTGTCACGGCTTGTCACATCGTTCGGGCGTCACTCAAAATCCGACCCTGTCGGGTTGGGGGAAAACGGGTATGGCTCAAAATTCCGCCGCCAGGTTTTAGTTCTCTGGTCCCATTTTCCAAACCAACCCATTTCGGGATTACAAATCACCTGAGCCGAACTGTCGCACCTCGCGTCTTCCTTCGGCGCCGCCTCGGCCCGGCCTCCCCCTCCGGGTTGCCGATCTGGCCCTGCAGGTAGCCCTCCTTCGCGCGGTAGAAGTTCAGAAGACCTGGCGAATCTGACATCCGGTTCCAGGGGATCCGTTTGGGTTGGGGGTGTCCCCCCCCTCCTTTGGGTTTTTGCGACACGAAAAAGACGCCAACCGTTTTAGGGTCATGGTCCCCCAATTTCAAAGACATTTGCCGGCTTTTTTAGGGAATCAGGCGCTTCGGGAATGAACTCCCGTTAAAAGGTTACAAAGGGATGGGGTGTCATATTGTGAAGGGACAAAAATCACGCCGATCGGCAACAGCTGGTAGGTGGTTTCTCAACCATTCAAATCGGGTCTCATCCATCCCTGTGCGAAGTGGATTATGTCCATCCATGAGGGTCTTGTACGGATGTTTCTCAAATCATGGGCCCTCTTGAATACTTTTTACAGGGGGGACCAAATGAGAAGCTTGCGGATGAATCAACTTGGATTTGTCTGGTCAAATGTTTATCCCAACTGTCATGAGATCTTGGTGAGTACCACCATGTTCAAATGGTAATTTGGTGTGTGAGACCTGCGTCATTCCCTCTGCTGTACATGATGGTAACAATATTGACCGTTGCTCATGTGCGTCGCAATCACAACCTGGCAATATGGGCCTTGGATCAATCCCTGCGATTTAGTAGGGGGCATTTTGTTCTTTCTGCCGCTGCATTTGGGATGTCTTCCTTTCTGGTACCCCTTTTGAGGTTGGGTTTAAAGGGGAGCAAATGGGGTCCCCTATTCGAGACCAAAAACGAAGCCCAGATGGTATCCCCAGCAACTGCGATCCGGAACCGTCACCTGCTGGGAAAAAACATGAGAAAAGCCAAGGGTCTGCCTGGCAGCAAGTGAGTGCCGGTATATCAAAAAAAATCCCCCCCATGCATCTTCAATGACCCGCTAGTGGGGGGGGCAAAGCTGCAGTGGGGGAGAAAAAAAACGATGCGCCTTTGAACAGGTGGATTTGAGAACCCATAACACAACGGCTTTCAATCAGGCCAAAAGGGTTTAAGGTCTCGTCTTCCGCGCATGTTGTTTTAGTGTTCACTCGAGCAGCGCCCAAGACTAGTTGGCTTTTGGTTCTACCAAAATGGTTTTAGCGGTTAAGATAGGTTTTACAACCAACATAAGATCTTATACGCCTCCAAACAACAACGGCATTGTTCAAGTCCACTGGGGCACTTTTATGGGTGCGGCTGAAAAAATGGGTACCCCCCAACCCCCAGTATAGAAAAAAGGCTGCAACATCTGTGCTCACCTCCTGATAATTAATGTTTTGCCACACCCATATATGGAAGCCTGTTTGGGGGTTCATGAAAACTACAGAGAACAGGCAGGGCAGCAACAAATGCGCTCGCCTCATTGATTTGGAGCGCACCTCATATGTCTTTGTTCTTCTTTTTCTTTTTTGCTTTGTGGGGGGGGGGGGGTGCCCTTTTGTGGTGGAAAACGACGAGAAACCACGCAGGAACGGGGCTCGCCCCTTTGCGCCTTCCCAGTAGGCCCACTGCGTGTCCGTGTCCACATTCATCTTCACGACCTGAGGATCGCCCAGTTTCCCCAAAGCATGTGGGTGTGGCTCCTAATTAGAGAGCCAGGGTTGCGCAGGTTTTATTCTTTGTTTCCATGTACCAAGGTAATTACTATTTTGGCACATGTCTTTGAGCCACGGCCATATCTTGCGGCACATGAAAAACGGAGATCTAAGGGGCTGAGAAACTACTCACACGATTCAAAGGGGCTGAATCATGATTCACACGATCTTGCGATTGACTTTATTTGCCTTGTTCAGAAATAACTCGCCGCCAAACACCATTCCAATCATTTAGCCCCTTACATTGCACACCTTCCAGCCCAGTTCTACACAGCGTTGGCAAATTGACCTCCGACCTCGACAGAATGTGGCTAAGAGCAAAACGGGCGAACCCGCTGGTTGCAACATGAGCGGCGCCGGTTTCACGTGTTGACTTTGGGTTCTGCCAACATGGCTACTAAGGCTTACATACGCGGCATTATAATCCCGATTAAGGCAAACAGTAGAAACACGCATGCATATATTCATATACGTAAGTATATATATATATATATATATTATAGATACATAACAACATGGCCAATGGGGCTTTCGCTCCTCACAGAGGTGTCTCCAATAGTAGGAGTCCTAGGTGGGCGGGCTAAACAGACCCCCCGCCCCCGCACCAAAGCCTAAAAAGCAAAAAACAAAAAAAGGCTAGGGGGGGACGGCTGGGAGCCACCAAGCAAACACACAAATCCAGGTCACATGCCACAGGGCATTGGCATCACAAGGGTGTGGCTCAAAAAAAATCAGAGATAGGGCAAACCGCAGGTGTTAGTCTTTGGCTCCACATACCAAGGTGCCATTTTACTGGGCTGCCCGTTTTCTGATCCCCCCGCCAAAAGCTTGACTAACTCTTGGTGGGTTAAATACGGAAACTACCACTAAACACCAAAAAGCTAAAAGGCTAAGGAACCGGATGGCCGGAGCCACCGAGAAATGGTGGGTATGAGTTCAATTGTCGACCCTTTGGTGGACACCATTTAGTTGGGGATGTATGTCCACCAGGGTATGTGTCACAGGGGCCCCCAAAAACTGGTGGGTTTCCCTCTGGAGCCACAGCCACATTGCCCCCTTGGTCAAGCTGCTCCGTTACCCAGCGCCGTGGAGATGTGATGCTTCTCGGACCCGCTGCCGCCATGGAAGACAAAGTAGAGGGGCTGGGCGGGGCAACACTCAACACCATAGGTGTCCTTTTAGGGCAAATAGATGGGTTTCCCTGGTAGATGATTAAACCAGCAGGTAAACCAGGAATCGCCATCTATGTTTCTGCCAAAACAGCCAAAAAGGACACCTATGCTCAACACTCCAAAGCCACACAGAAGGAACGCCCTTATCAAAAAACAAGAAAAAGAAAACATATCCCTGGTACAGCTGCTGTGGCTTCTGTAACGGACATTTGCAGGTTCCCGCCACTTCCGGTACTCCCCTGGTGCGCCTTTGATATGTTTTGGGCCGGTTTCAAGGGAAAACTAAAGGAAACGACCCCCGTGCAGAATCAGGAGACAAGAGGGTCCTGTCCCCACGAGTTTTCAAGTCGTGTACCCTTTATGCACCCATCCAGAATTTAAGCAATGTTGCAGAAGCAAATATCCATGCCCTCGTGGTTTCCCTTGGGAAGGTTAAGCGTGGTCATTCCCCTTACCTATGAAAACAGGGGTTGAACACTGGGTACGTTGATAAAGGGTAATCATACGAAAGCCATTGTCCTCGGTTTCCAGAATTTGACCCATTTCCTCACACTTATGGGGCTTGCGTGCTTCATGCTATCTCCCTTCTACATCAGTCCGGGATGACCTGAAGAAAATGCCCCCGTCAACCACCCACAAAGCGTTCTTCATCCGAGAAAGAAAACGGCGTACGATTTGGACGTTCTGTGAAACACTTTGCTTAAAACAGATCTCAAGCCGAGAGGATCCATGTTAAAGTCGGTCCATGTTGCTACCTCCAGGGAGCAAAAGCCTCGTAAGTGAACGCCTTTTGCACAAGCGCCAGCCCCATCTGGTACGGTGGACACTTTGGGGTCTATCTTTTGCAACCACCCTCTCTGGGTCATGAGTCGTGACTCTGACCCCCATGCCGGACAAATCCATTTTCTTCGGAAGGACCACGCAACCATTAAAGCCGCATACTCCAAGTGACTATGTTACCCGGAAAAAAGGGGGCAAACCCATTTTCCAGTCTTCGGAGGGCAAACGAAGCGCCGGGAACATGGGACTTAGGGGTCGCCGCTCGCTTCCGCTCGCACGCCCGGTGCCCGACGCCCGGCGCTCGCTCAAGCCTCTCGCTCGCCGAAGGCTCGCGCCTTGTCGGTGCCGACCTTGGAGGCCGCGTACTTCTGGAAGTCGCCCAAGAGCTCGGGGCGCAGCACCACGTTCCCCGCCTAATGGAAATCGAAGGAGGCTGGTTGGTGGGAGGGGTGGGGTGGGATGGCTTGGGGGGGGATGGGTTGCTTTGTGGTGGGTTGGTTTGGGGGGGTGGGTTTGGGGGGGGGGTTGGGGTCATCTAGCCCTGATCCTTCTCAGAAAAGGGTTGCCCCAATGAGTGGCTTCTGAAAAGCTCAGATGGGATGCATGCTCACCCAATCTTCCTCGGTAAAGATTGACCACAGAGAAAATCGCTGCGCAAAATCGACTCGAAGTCAGGAAGAAGACTAAAACCGGAGACTCGCATCGGTATCAAAGGAGTCCGGGCAATTTCTGCGCCGCAACGGCGCAGGACCAAAACCCAAAAGGTCAACAACACAGTTGCGTTCATGCGCAGGCGCTTGAAGTACCACGATTGAGTCATGACCATTTGGGGAAAAGGGACACCCCACACTCCTCAAACGGGTGGTGTCCTTTTGGCCTCAAGGAAAGGGTACCGAGCCTCCAAAACAGACAGCCCATTTCCATGTACTCTTTTGAGCCACTGCATCCATTGAGAGGATGAGGCATAGGGTTTGGTCTCCAAGCGAGGGACCCCCAACAAAAACGCATACGTGGTGTTCCTTAGGTTTCCACAAAGCTTGCTGGCGCTCAGCAGGGAAGGAGGGAATGACCCCTATGGCAGACCCTATGGACCATCCAACTGGTGGTTTCCTAGGAGCACAAAGCCTGGGTTCATTCAACCACATTCCCTACCGATCGCACCAGCGATCGCAAAACCACAACCATCCAGGGGAGAGTGGCCTTGTAAACGCCGTGGACGTTGCCGAAGGCTGCGGCCTCAGAAGGAAACGACGGCGGAAAGGACACCATCGCACAAAAGCCAGCTGATTTGGCCATGGGTCAAAAGCCTGTACCCCCAGTGAACATCCCAATCCCCACTAAAATAGACTTGGAATGGGTGGTGCACCTACCCCAAATGGTACCATTAATTTTGACTCTGACCCACAGCCATTTAGAATTTAGAGGCGGCTGTGGATGTACCCTTCCTCCCTCTAACAGAAGGCATCTGCGGGAGGGTACCTGGAAGATCAATTCCCTTGATTGACCGGAAAATGTGACGGGTATCGAAGCAGAAGGCGGCACGAAAAATCAGCCTCGCCCTGCGAGGACCCATATTCTTGAGAATCCCTTCTTAGAGGTCGCGCGCTCAAATCCACCCATGTTGTATCGTTTTAGCTGGGTGACCCAGGTGACGACTCCTTTGTTAGCAAAGGACCCATCGGCACAGGCGGGTGGCCGAGGTCAACGAAGGCAGCAATGGCACCAATTGCCAAGAGGCCAACTTGTCCCTTGGCAGTTGTGTTGAAGGAAGCCAAGAGGAAAACTACTCATTTTTAGGGTTCGGAAGACAAACCCACGTCCCAAACAACTTCCACTGAATGGGTCTTTCCCGGCCTTGTGTAGGGAAGATCCGCTGTCCCAAAGATCTAGCGGCGGTTCGCCTCCCTTGTGGCTCAAAACCAATGAACTTCCCACGCATGAAAGCAGTCCATGTCCAGAGCCAACTCCATGGAAGCTGACCGAAGAAGGCCTCCGAAATCGCGGCTTTGTGTGGCAAGTCTCTCTGTCCAATCGCCGTCAATGCGACCAAAACAGGCCACAGGCTTTGAAGGAGGAAGCCGTGCAGGGGAAACCATTGCCGGGGTCTTTGTGTTGGAAAAGCCGGCAAACCGAACATCCTTGCTGGGCAAAGGACCATATTTCCGAGCTGGAACTAAGAAATCAGCAAAGTAAGGACCTTCTTCATGGGTTGTGTCGCTCGCTTTACCCCCCAAATCCCTTTTGCACCCCATTCCGCCGTGCCAGCCCGGACTTTTCGTCCCATCTGAGGACGGATCGATGGTGAACATGTGGGAGATGGGGGCCAAGCCTTCGTAGACCTCGCGACTTTAGCTGGCAACCCGCTGGGCGTCGCATGGTCGATGCTCGCCCAAAAGTGGCGGAGCCGTTCTTCAATTCTTTGGGACGTTCCTCGAGCCCATGAGGGAAGCTGTACACCCAAACTGCTCGGGCGCCCATCGATTCTGTGCTCCAACTGACTCATTTCATTGTCCCAGGTCTGGACCTCGCTACGAAGGAGTAATCAGCCATCTTTTGGGTAGAATTCGGATAGATGTAAGACATGTTACTCAGGGAATCGGATTGGATGTGTTGCTTGTCTTCAATTGGTAAAGCAAACGGAGAATGGGATAGAATGGGTATGTGCCAAAACAAGGGATCCACAAAATGGTGGCTTTCCTCTTGGTGTTCCTTTGAGCCAACCTCAAACAAAACACACACACACACACACACTTCCTTGGATTGAAGAGCAAGCACAAATGTAGGGTGAGTTAGGGGTTGGGGCTCCCTGACTTTGAACGGCTGGAGTTGGAATGTGCTTGCTCCCTCGCAAAAGACACCATTCGTGCGTGGGGGATTCTACTGGGAACCGGGGGGGGGGAGCTTCGACATCAAGCCTGGGACCTGCATGGTGAACACGTTCTTACTGAATCGCTCGTAATGAAGACGTCTTAACGGCCACCGATATTGCGCCACCGATGTTGCGCCCAGTGTTCATCTACGCAACAGATCGTCCTTCGCAACTCACGGTTGGCCTTAAGCTGGCCTTGGCCTTCTTTGGGCATATTTGGCCTTGTTTAGCCTTCCTTGGCTTGCCACCCCCCTTGCCGAAGGGGCTTTGGTGTCTGTGTCCTGGTCTTCGCGGCAAAAAAAAAACAGCTTGCCTTGAAGACATCCTCTGGGGTGGAGTAGAGCTTGTCCTTCGACATGCCTGTGTTGTCCACCCCATCCTGGACCCGACCAGGTGCGTCATAACAAAAAAGGTGCATTCCACAAGCAAAACCCCAAAGACCAAATATGCACAGCTTTCTCGGGTTGGAAAGCTGATCTGATGTCAGCAAATAGGTTTGTCCCCTAAAAGGGCTCGTGATCATCCCCAAAATTGAAAGTCTGAGAGAAATCGCTGAAGTAATCTCCGGTTGAACCCCATGCACAACCCCAAGAAACCACAAACCCGTCCCATGTTTGACTAGACTTGGAAAGTGGTTGCTTTCCACCAAAGGGGCCACGGGGTGTTCGAGTCGAGACCTTGGGGCAGTCAAATGGAACCGGCAGCGTCTCTTTCGTCCTCGACTCCTCCGGTGATGCCGATCCTTAACTCGATCTGAAGTCGGAAGAAGCTGCAGCGGGGACAAGTTGTTCCAACGCTTTTGGGAAAGAACAAGAAAAATTGGTGGCCCCCCTCCCCTGGTCTCGGAAAAATTGGCCCCTGCATGTCCTCTCCCAACAGACTACAACTAGTGTCAGTGACTCATCCCAGAGGGGTCTGGCTAAAACCAGGTGCCAGTCGCAGGCCAATGTAGTGCATTTCCGACATATTCCACTTGCAACCAAACTTCAAAAGGCGGTTCACTCAAAACGGTGATGTCTAAAACCCGCAAAAGGCGACCTCACCTCAAAATCAGGTGGCCCAACTGGTGGATACTGAAAACACGCAGGCCACAAACCTTGCGCCAAGCTAAGCTGCCCAACCAGACGCTTCTTTCGATGCAAAGAACAAAAACAAGTTCAACGCCAAGAACCCCGAAGCGGTGCTCATCTGGCTTAGTATTTTGTTCGGAAACCCCCCTCCCCCCCCCAAAAAAAAAAACAAAACGATGTGGTGCTCCTCTTGGCTATCCCGTAAAGCCACACAAAATGGGGCACCCTCAAAAAAGACAGCCCCATATTCAGGGACACTCCTTTGCGTCGCCTCAACTATGTCATTTGACCTCCTGGCAGCTCCTTAATTCCCTCTTGAAAGGCAAATTTGGATACCCCCAGCTGCGAGGCCTTCCTTACCTGCGAGTCCTAACAGCTTAAAGGGAAACCAGATGGAATCCCACCGAACCTTGCAGCCCCGTAAGAAAAAACCCGCCACGCACGCGCTTTCTATTGCCTGAGGCCTTGGCTCCATCTCCAGGATCTGCTTCATGGGTGCCATGCCTCAGCGCAACTCGCCCCTTCCAACAAACCGATGAGCGCGGGGCCTGGAGGCCGAGCCACGAGGTTTGTTTTTGGGCTGGGGCCCCAAGCGCTTCAAGTACTTGGCGCAGATGGCGATGTTCTCCTCGTCCACTTCCTGGCGCAACTAACACTCGCCAATTGCGCGTCTGTCAGGGGTCAGGACCAAGTGGATCTTGCGATCAGGCTTTTCTGGTTTTGGGGAGAGGTCCAAACGATGAACCCTCATAAGTCGCCAATGGCCAATCATCTGGCATACTCACATGTTCAAGCAAGACAAGTGTGCGAAGGCAAATGTGACTTCCTCCTGACATCCATTCAGAACAACCTTCCCTGGTGTCGTGTTCAAGATGGACCGTCATATCACGAACGCATTGAATTGTCCATGCTATTGGTTGGAGGTAGTCTCAAGAAGGCACCCAGTGATGCAGTGCCCAAGTAGTGCCCAACTCGCGATTGCAAACAATCCCAGTAATGTCTATTTGATAACCGCAGATGGTATCTATGGCAGACGGCAATTCACGCACTCATTGGACAAGTCGTGTTTGGTTTGAAGCACTAGAGGGAACCAATGGGTAAAATGTTTGGCTACTGAATCCCTATGAAGTCTGCGCCTTGAGAGCAGGCCGCAAAAGATAAAAGGATCTGACACTATCTATAGTTTGGCAGTTTCTTTTCCTGACGGCACATTTTCACGCTTTTTTTGGTGCACCTTTTGTTTATAGTTGTTGCCTTCCCGGGTTTTGCTTTCCCGGGCGCAGACAAAAATACGCGCGGCGCCGGAACCCCTTGCCCGCGCCTCGGACAAATCCAGCATGTGGGAGGTGAACAAGGGCTCCCCGGTCTTGGCGAAATAGGCCTGGCAATCCGGGGATAGGTAGACCCGTGCCGGGAGAAGCTGAGGTTGATCTCGGTACAGCTTAGACCAGGGGCCATGAGGAAAAAGGGGCACCCGTTACCCATTGACTAGGGGAAGCTTCCAACCAAAAGTTGAAAAAGGAATTCCAAATAAAAGTTGATCGGAATTGCCACCTGGCTGTTGGCCCTATGAATCGACTCCGAGCGTCTGGATAAACCCAAATTTGTAAGCCAACACCGAAAAGGAGCACCTCAAACTGACACTGCCAGGCTCACTCCGACTCCGCTCTGAATGGATCCGACTCGGCCGGCCGGCGGAACAACCCCAACAATCCAGTGCTCAGGAGCAATGGCAGGTGTGAAAGGGAAACCTATCCAACCCCCCTTGACCAAGTTACCACTTCAGGCGTGGTCATCTTTGTTCAAGGCCAAAGGAGCCGGGCAATGTGTTCAGCTTGACCAACTTTTGGCGAGCCATAGGTGCCACCCGACCAATTCTGCTAAACCAAATGCGGAAACTCACAAAGCTGTGTGCCCAAGAGAACGAACCTCCCTGCAAACTTTGGTTGGGAATGCTGACGGAATGCCTTGTTTTCTGACTTCTGGAGAACCAACCTCAGGTGCCCTTGTGTCCCTTGGGTTGTTCCGTTCTGCTTACCACCATAGTCAACCACTCGCTTTCCATCATCAGAGTTCCTCCATCAAGGATACATCCAGAAGTCACCTGAAGAAATGAAATCCATCCAAAACAGCTTGTTTGAAGCTGATTTCTTGGACTGGACAACATCTCTCCTTTGGTCACCCGGATGATGGGACACCCCGATCCCCACCCGGCGATGTCTTTCTCTGCCTCATCCGCGTCCAGCATGCCGTCGAACCAGGGCAGGAGCTTCTTGGCGCAATGGTCCGAGTGCACGAAGACCTCAGAAGCCGATCGCGCCCCAGTTCGAACATCGAACTCCAAATCGGGGGACCCTACAAATGGGTCAAAAAGTGGTACCCATTTTTGGGCCCCTTGGATGGAAACAATGACCAAGACCTGCGTAACCCAGCTCTTGAATTTTGGGCCGCACCCAAATGGCTTCCTGCTTTTTCTGTGTAGATGTGCTCATTTGCGGGACCTCAAAAAACCGGCCAGGTTGGTTTCCCTTCAGCAGAGCCTCAAAACACACACACACACAGCTAAATGGGTTGATGTGTCAAAAGGAACCGCAAAAAAGCGGGGTGCAAGAAGGGAGGTTCCTCTTGAGATTTAGGGGTACCGTCTCAACCAAGATTAGAACATGGACTCCCAAAATGGCGAAATCTCAAAATGAAGAAATGGACCCAACGAATGGCTACTAACGTAGTTTCCTCTTGCTTTCCCGATATCTTTTCTCAACAAGGAATCCAAAAACGAGGGTCTCCAAGGAAACCGAAATAGGTTTATGCCTCGAAAGTATGAAATGGACCCCAGGATGGTGTCCTTTTTGCTTTCCCTTGAGACCAACCCAAGAAGGGGTGTGCCCCAACGGGGGCTTCCTCCAAAAATGGCTGGGCGTTGGTGGTCCAATACAGGAAAGCAATGGGTGTGAATTTCAAGGCTGAAAAGTGGTCGGTGGACACCCCACCGAAATGATCTCCACCATGTTGAGTTTCCGTTCGCACTTTCCTGAACCCAAGATCGGCGAGCCTTTTCCAAAGTCACATCTGCAGCTGTGTGTTGCTCAAATCCAAGTGGATTGGCCACTCCAAGCTTTGTGAAGTGGTCTTCCCCAAAGCTTAAAGTCCAGAAACTCAGAGACTGAGATTGCTTGTCGGCTTAAACCGCTTGCAGTTTGATGGTTCTTACGCCAAGTTGCAATCCACCTTCGGAAATCCAAGAACAACTCATGCTTTTCTCCCACAAACCGCTGGGTATTCAGTCAGCAGCCAGCAAGAAGCTTCTCCCCTGAACAGCTAGAACTCAGTCTATTGCAGGGAGGTATTTCTACAAAGACGCCCCGAAAGGCCAGGGGTTGATGAGCCAAACTTTGGACCAAAGGCCAAACTTGGAATGCCACTGGGCCAAACGAAGACTTGAACTCGCTCAGGCGGAAATCTCTGAAAATGATGGGACAATCACGTCTCCAATCGGTGATGCAACAAGGGATGCGAAAATTACAGCTCGACATAGCATGGAACCCAAAAACCGCTTGTGGTATCTTCCATGCAAATCCCCTCTCAGAAATACAGGTTTCCCACCTGAAAGCACAGGGAACCTCCCAAACAACCTACCAGAACCAACGGGTGGTAGGTTCCCCTGGCAGAGTAACTTTTCAGGTCACCCCACGCAGTCCCTAGGATCACCTCCGACAACTGATGGATTTAGAGCATCTGCCTGGAACAGACACCCAAACATCTTGGACACAGGTATGCAATGGTCCCCTGGTCATGTGGCACTCAGGAACAGGAAATGCCTATTATTCTCCTCAGGCTCATTGGGGTATGATGCAGCGAAAATGTCTGAATCTCTGCCACCTAGGGCATGGGTTCCCTTTTTGGCCAACTGACAAGAACTTTTGGACCCCCCCAAACGATGATTATTGGTGATCTCGCATGGGTTTCCACCCCACCGGATGGATCGTCAATCAGCTGCCTCCCCGCTGGATCTGATTCAGCTGCCGAGCGGCGGGGATGCCATAGGCCGGCGCCACGGCGCGCACGAACTGCGCCCCCGCCACCGCGCCGAGGATGGAGGACTCCGCGGAAGCCCCGCGGATCGACGAAAAAAGAAGAAGAAAGGAGTTTGGGGTCGCAAGTCCATGGGCTGATCCAAACTGAGCCCTTAAAAGTTTGAAGAAAGTTCTAGTGGGTAAAAAAAAAAAAACTGGGCTGTGCAAACAAAGCCGCTATGAAAAGTCGAAAAATAAGCTTTTAGTGGGTGAATTACGGAAACCCAACCATTAAACCAAGAAAAAAAAAAAAAAAACGATGGGGATGGCTGGGAGCCGCCGAGAAATATGGGTGTGAGTCGTGAGTTCCATTTTCGACCCTTTGGTGGACATCATTTAGTTTGGGTTTTATGTCCACCAACCATGTGGGTATGTGTCACAGGGGCCCACAAACTGATGGATTTCCCTCTTTGAACCGCCAGCAAGGGCAGCCTCAAACAAGACCGCCCATATGAAGGCATTTGATCAATCTAGTCAGTGTCTTCCTGGTGCGAGAGGTAGGGAATGTGGGAATGAACGACAAGGGGTCCCCTCAACGGAAACCACCAGTTGGATGGTTTATAACTAGGTCCTCCAGTAGAGAGTTTAGAATAAGAGTACCCTTAGTCCATTTTAGTAGGGGAACCCTCCCAAAAAAAGGGGGTGAAAGGGCACTACTGGGGGACCTAGATAAGGTTCATGCCATTTCTCATTCCCTGCATCTCTCCGCACCAGCAAGATGTGTGTGATACTTGTTCGAGGCCATGTCGGCGACCCGGATCTGCAGATTCATGGGGCCTGTTCCAATGGACCCTCCCCATATTGATCAAACAGGACCGTATCTTCCCAAGCCTATGATAGAACGAAACGGTATTTGCTGTGCAGCCCCCACTTAAAGAAGATATTCAGCAACATGCCAAAAACAGTGCAGTTCTGAATCGCGATGAAACCTGATGTTATGGGTCGCGGAAGGCAGACTTAAATCCAGTGGTTGATTTTCCCCACTAGGTTAAAGCACCCTGGGCTACAGTCTTCTACGGGCTGTCCTCACATCCCCTGCTAAAAGTTGTCAAACTTTTAGTGGGTTAAATACGGACACCACCACTAAACCGACGAAAACAACTACGAAAAAAACAACTAAAACTCAGAATCGAAGCCCGGACGGCTGGACAAACCGCCCAATTATTCTTTGGGGCAACCCGACACAGGTCGACTCACCGCCGCCCCAGGGGCCCCCCCCCGCGCCCCGCCCCCCGGGGGCCCCGGGTCTCCTGCAGCACGCCCTTCTCGTTGGGCAGCCCCTTGCCCGCCATGAAGGCGGCGCCGCCCTGGAAAGAGGGAAGGCGAGCGGGGAGAAGGCACGTGTTTTTTTTGTGCCCTTCTTTGGGGTTGGAGTTTCAAGGTAGCCGGCTCAAAGGCCTCCCTCTAAAGAGGTTTTCTTAAGCGTACCCTTTTTGGTCGGTTGGTTTAAAGGGAAAACACAGATTACAACCACCATTTGCGTTCTTTGTCTGTTGATTTGTTTTTGTGTGTTCCTTTTGTTTGAGGGTTTTTTTTCAAAATGGTGCCGGGTCAAAGCATCATTTTGAGAACTACTGATATGAGGGATGGTGCCAAGGTGCCAAGGACAATTTGTGCCGTTCCCCAAGAAGACTTGGAAACGTTGGGCGGCCCCAGTACTTTGCTGGCCACTCTGTTGGTCCCCCATGTGCGAAAGTTTAACAAGCAGGGCCCTTTGGAACAGGCCAAGGAACTGAGTGAGATGAGGTCAAACGCACTTTCCAACAAGGCCTGCGCAAACAAGAAAACCAAGGTTTGGCGCGTTGGTGATCGAAAAATATGCTCTGAAAGGTTGAACGCTCGTGACCACCTGGCAAGTTGTCTGCTGCTCTTGTTTTGGGCGGGTTGTTGCTGGTGCTGCTGCTGCTGCTGCTGCTGCTGCTGCTGCTGCTGCTGCTGCTGCTGCTGCTGCTGCTGCTGCTGCTGCTGTTGTTGTTGCGCTAGCTGCGGTGTTGTTGATCTTGTACGTAGCGGGAGAAGCAATTACGTTTCTGCTCTGGGCGCTTGCTTCCCGCAAAGGAGGTAACTTGTTTTGCAACTACCTGCCTGCCCACAGACGACAAACCACCACTCTGGCGGAGAGGTCGCAACAAAGTCGTTTCCCGGATAGGTTGCTTGATCTGAGACAAACCTGCAGGAGGAGACGTGGTGCTTACAGTTGACGCTATAATGTGGCGAGTAAATTGGAAAAACAAAGTCTACTTGAGTGGTTTGTGGTGGTTGCAATAGTTAAGTTATGTCCATCAAACGTGTTTGGCTTGCAGCTCAAATGACTTGTCCACTGTTCGCTTTTCTTCGGATGATCCAACTGGGCTGTGTTCCCAAAAGACATATCGCCCGAACTATCCCGCTTGCTTTTCAAGTTTTCGGGCGTCCGCCTTCCGGCAGCCCGAAGCTCACAAGACAACCTTTTCTGCCAGAAAGGGATCAAGGGGTTGCCTGGCTTCCCTTCAAACCAACCCCCAAAACAGGCGAACATCTCAATCACAGAAAGCATTTTCATGTGGTGAGTCTCTTCTTCCTGGTCTACAATTCCCTTCGGAATCCCAGCTGAACAAATGGCCCTCGTCTTTCATTTCGACGCAGCCATGTGGTGAGTCCGACATCCGGTCCTCGGAGAACTGGATCATGATGGGACGGTTCAGCTCCTGCCCATGTGATCGGACCCCATGCCGCGGTCTTGGCATCGGACCTTTTTCCCAAGGCGGCGGGGATTTTTGGGGCTGCCCGCCAAAACCGCCCCACAAAAGGGCGACCCAAAGCTTCAAAACCACAAAAAAAGAGGGGTAGCCAGAAAAAGAGGCGCCCCAACATGGTGAGCTGCAAAACCGCCCCAAAACAGGAGGTACCCCAAAAAATGGACACGGCCATTCTAGGGAGTCTCTCAAAGCTGGGTCTACAAGTCTCGGAGGTCAAAGAATATCGTGGGGAGCCGGTGCCACATAACACACTCAAACACTCATGATTGACACAAACAACTTGCCACTTCCTGAGCATGCCCCAACATGCAGGTGGTTCACCTGAGATTGTAAACTCCCAAACCATTTGCCACATGCCAGACTACCCGACAACATGCAAACCTAAGCGCTGCGCCTTACCAGCCTCCAAGACGGAGTTGATTGTGCCTGTCGCACCGAGACCGGTGTTTTGGGTTGGGGCCTTTGTCAGGTCAAAATGCATCTTGAGTCAAAGCAGCTGATCAATGGTGCAAACTCAACTTTACCGCCGCTCGTCCAAGCTAGTCGGGACATGTTCACCTCAGGTTCAAAAATCAAATGACCTCAACATAGAACGAAGGGAACCCCCCAAAAATGGTGGTTTGCCTTTTGGTGTTCCTTTCAACAAACCCCAAACTAGGTACCCAAAAAAAAAACACCCATCCGGGGGTTGGCCGAAAACTGAGCTTCGTGCTGGTGCTGGTGCAATTGAAGGCCGGGATCGCATAGCCTCGGACGCGATGCGGCCCCAAAAGGTCGGCGGCTGGTTACTCACGTTGCTCCGCCTGAGGTCTGAAGGACCCCGGGGTTACTTATTCGGGTTGCTCTTCACCCTGAACAATGTGCCCGGGGCCAAAAAAGGCGAAGGTCACAAAGACATGGGTTTCAATGACCTGTGACTCTTCGTGTGACTCTTCGGTCGTCAGCTTGGCCAACCATCGACCTTTTGAAGCCAACGTCGGACCTCTGCGCCGTCAAAACCACACAAACACTTCATCTGTGCACCAAAAATAACAATCTTCGGATTCTAACTCTAAAACATGCTTGGCAGAAGAAAAGGAGAAAACAAAGCAACCACACGCCATTGGGTTTGTTTCCCGAGAATCTGCTTTGAAAGGACCCCACAAGCATAAAAGTCTCCAACTCCCCCAAGAAAATGCGGGGCAGACCGTTCTCTTCGGCTTCCTTTTCAAGCGGTTCGCAGGACCAGCGGCCCTGCCGGGTTCCTCGGTCCCGCGCCGTGGGCCTTGGCGTGCTGCAGGATGCCCCAGGCCACGTCTCCCGTGACCACGCCCGCCTGCGAGAGAGAGGCTCCGAATGTTGCGCCTAGAAATTTTGAGGACCCGCAAGCAACCCCAATCCCAAACCAGAAGTAACCTAAAAGAAGAAGAAGAAGAAGAAGAAGAACAAACTAATAATAATAATAACTTGTTTTTAGAACCTTCAGGGACCCAAAGGTTGAGGCCTAAAGGTCTGAATGTTAAGGAGCTATGGAGCTTATGCCCAGTTTTGTTCATGGGGTCTACGCTGCTGAAAGGGTTTTAGAGCCATGTGACCCAGGACCTGCCACACACACACACACACCGCCATGACCCAACGGTCAACGCATTAAACGGGTGCCCTAGGCAAAAACACACACACACAGAGAGAGACACCGAAAGAAAGACTTGAATGGGACGAATCGCCAAGCGAACCATGATAACCAAAGCCTGTTGCAGCCGTTCACGTCACACGGGGGGAAGGCCATAGCCATGCAAAATCCGAGACCCTAAGTCGGAATTGGCAGGCCTCAGTTTCTGGAGAAAGCGAGCGATGTTGAAAATCCGGATCAAACCTAGTTGAAAACCTTTGCTTCTGGTAGCAAACACAATGGTGGACACTAAATCCGGAAACCAAAGGCATGAGTTCGGTGTATTTTTTGGGAGTTTACTACAGTAAATCACCCAAGGGGGCCTATTTTGAGCAAGGACCCCATGCCTCAATTTCGGGCCACTGGGCCGAATGCAAGCGGAGTGTTCCCACATCAACGGGCTCCTGTTCCTCCTTGTGCGTCTACTCTGGGGGTGTTCCCCCAAAAAACCGAACAACAAACAACAGCGCCACAACAATAAGCTCAGGTGATATCCCCAACAGAACCACACCCGTATGGGTTCTGCAGATGCTGCTCAGCGTACGGATTGACTTGCAACGTGTGTGACCCGCGGAACCGGTGCGTTTCCACAACCCTTGCGGAACCCTTTCAGCGGTTGAGCCTCTGCCCCGAAGCCTCCGAACCGTCCTTGAACCTTACACCCCGACCTCCGGACATACGGCCAACCTTACACCAGCCTGCCCGGAACCTACGGAACCTTGCTTGAACCTTACACCTGGCCTGCACCAGACACGGAACCTCCTACACCAGACCCTGCCCAAACCTTACACACCAGACAACCGGAACCTCCGGACCTGACCACCCGCAACTCCGGAACCTTCCCTTACACCCGGCACCCGGAACCTGCACCCCGGCCGCGCCCCGGAACCTCCGGAACCATGGCGTGAACATTACACCTGGCCTGCGTCAGACCACCCTGAACCTCTGGAACCCTCGAACCTGACTCCAGAGCTCCCCCAAGCCACCCCCAAACCTTATCTGGGCTTTTCAGCTTTTGGGGAAAAGCAAATACAAAAGGCACACAAATAAAACCCATCCCTCGCTCCATGCAATCTCTCAAGGGCCTTGACGCCAGGCACGTCCCAGAAGGATGCGGCCTTCTTGGCTTCCTTGGCGAGCAGGCAATCCCTGCTTTCAAGGCTCTTTTTCCACACAAAACCCCCCCAATCCCAATAGATCCCAAGAGCGGCTGTCTTGAAACCACCAACAAGACCGCTTGCCAAGGTTGATTCTCAGAAAACACCCAATCCCAATAGGGGCTCGAGTTTTCAGCGACCTCGCCAAGGCAAAAAGGCGGGCTAAGGCGGCGCCTCGCTTTTCTTTCTTGGGGGCAGGGGGCCTGACAACCACGGGAGTTCCCAAGCGTTCCCTACATGTCCCACAAATCTCATGTACCAAGGAGAGTTCACCTCAAATTGGCAAAAGGTTTGATTCAAGCCGACACAGGGAAATATGGGGAGTGCTGTCGAAGCCAATGGGTTTCATCAAATTTCTATGCCGGTGTTCCTGATTGGTGGTTTGGAAGTTAGTTTTACGGTGGTGCCCCATGTTTCTGTTTCCCCCCCCCTCCCTCAACAAAAACGAGAGAAACAAAACAACAGGGAAACCATCATGCGTCAAAACCGTGTTTGCCCCCTTTCCTGGCTGGCCAAACACAAACGGTGTACGCAACCAAAAGAACGCCCAACGCCACGGCGATGTGCCAAGGCTTTGTCTAGAAGGGAACCCCACTGAAGGCAACAAACAAGTCAACCATAAGTACTGCAAGCTATAAATCCCAGGGCTTCATTAACCAGAGAATCACCATCGATTGTAAGTGGGATGTACACTTTCACATGCCAGGGTCCCAAAATGTGCTACACCCTCCGTGGGCATGGGTACATCAAAATGTCCTTTTTAGGGAATTTAGAGTCCCCAAGCGCGCCAGATTGCCGACGAACCCAGTGGAACCCATTTCCGAGCCTGCAAAGCGGGGTTTGTTGGCAACCTGACTTGATGGGTCTGGGGACATCAGCAAATTGTCCATCCTCTGTTGGTTTCCCTTGGGGGAAGCTAACAATTCCGCGCAATTTTTTGGGGGGAGGGGTTCTCAACCTGGTGGTGGCTCAATGAAAGCCAAAAGGAAACAGCCTATTTTTCGGGGGGACCCTCATTTTGATACACCCATGTAGCACCCAAAGATGTGGACTCCACGCCTCGACCGTGTAGCCGCCGCCCGACATGGGTTCTGACGGGGCTCAACAAAGCTGCACGGTCGCTGACTGGTTCAAACCCAACCCTCTTCTGTGGATGGGACAAAAGCGTGCTTCTCAAAATGGGCATTGGTCTTTAGGGGTCCTTTTGGCTTGTCTTTGAATACAAACTAAACGGTCGAGGCATATTGGGAGAAACCAAAGGGTCGGTGCGTTTCTGTCTGCCACGTACGTCCCACTCCAAACTAAAGACCAACTCGGGGAGTGCAATCCCGGAGTGTTGAAAAGAACTTCAGCTGAACCTCTATAATCCAGGTCTGAACCCCCTTCCCCTCCTGTGGTTGGGGGCGGACCCCCGTTAGAGGCTCCAAGGTTGAACCCCCTCCCATTTTATCAGATAAAATGGGGTTAGTCCATCCTTGTTGGAAAATACAATGAAATAGTCCAACTTTGACAGAAAATAATTTGACAAATCGCGATTCATTTTGGCCTCCTTTTAGGGGTTTGGATTGAACAGTCCAAGTTGGACAAAACGTATTTCATTTTACTTTTGGATGAAAATAAAGTCAGGGGGGTCCAACTCATGTTTGTTATTGCACACTCGCTTTTTCAGAGAATAAAGTCGGGGGGGTTCAACTCGGATGGTTATTTTGGGCTCACCATGGTTTCCTTGAAAGCACCATGGTTTCCGTAAGGTTTTGAACTAGATTTTGGTCTTGTGATTCTCCAAATTGGATTCGGACCGAATCCTCCAGGATTTCCAACAACAAATACGAAGCAAAAGGAGTCCGAAATCCATTGTGCGATCAAAGCAATGATTCTTTGACCGCCCTCCCGCCCCCCTAAAGTTAACATGTTCCAACTCCACACTGAAATTTAAAAATGCCATGTCAAAAATGTAGTTGCCGCAGTCCAACATTTTCCAGGCCTTGAATGGCCTTGAAAAAACGGCACTTCCTGGGGAAGTCGCGGGTTGCCTCATGTTAATTTGCAATGAGTTCAGTCCAACTTTGAAGGGTTTTTTCACAGACGCCAAAATGAACTTAATGGAAAAAGGGGGCTGGACTAAAAAAAAGATGACTTACTTTAGGATCCGACCTGCCCCAACTTTATTTTGAGCCTCAACAGGGGTGGGGCGGTACTGCTTGGGTTCTCTTTGTTTGGTCTTTCTTTGGAGAAAAAGGGGGAGGAGAAGCAGGAAACGATCGCCACCGAGCGAACCGGACCGAGCCTTGGCTGGAAAGACAGTCGCGGAGAAGCAGTGTTGATGTTTGAGCCAAGCTGCTCGAAAACGACTCAATTTCCGCAAAGAGATCGCCCGGATGTTTTCCTTTTGACGCGGCAGGGACTTGTCACTTATCATGGAAAAAAAAAAGATAGGCCCAACAAGTTCCAGGTTGACCTATTCTTCCAAAAAGAGACTTGTAACCCAACCAAAACTAGCCAACCCCCTTAAAGGATACAAACTCGCAAGAAACCACGCAAAAAACTCTCACACACACACAATGGTTCAATTCACAAGCCCTTAGCTTGGTTTATGGTTTCTTTGTTTGGGTGCTTCTTGTTGACGATAGTTGGTTTCACCAAACAAAGTCCATGATTTTTCCACTAAACGTCCAGGAAGATCTCAGGAAGTGAGCAATTGTGACTCCCAAACCTTTCCAGAGGGCCACTGCATTTTGCGCTGAGCACAGGGTTGAGAGGAAAACCTCTGACACCGACTGGAGCACATCCAAACCAAGCCGAATCGTAGGGCTTTGTAGGGACCTAACGGCTTCAGTGCTTACAATTCAAAGGTCGCTTGCTTTCGGGCGGGAAGTGCATGCTCAAAACCTGGGAAAGGAGTCTACCGTACGCCTATCGCGAATCCGAGAACAGATCTCCGCGCCAAGACGGCGGTTTGGCCCATCCCATATTCAACTTCGAAGGGTTGAGGCTCACTGCAAGTCAGGGTTTCCCAGAGAGGGTCACGAGGAACAGTTGGTCTAGGTCCTCCAGTAGAGAGGTTAGAATAAGGCTACCCCCTTTTTCTGCAGTCTATTTTAGTAGGGGAAGCCTCCCAACCAAAAAAGGGGTGAGAAAGGGCACTGGGGGACCTAGTGGTACTCCCTTTGAGACCAACCCCATTGAAAGGCTGCTCGAGGGCTCGGCTTGTCGGTGAGAGGTGTCACCACCAGCCGGGGCGTGTTGCCCAAGTACTCGAAAGAGTACCTGGACCAAGGCTGGCGCCATCCACGTCCAGCTGCTTTGAATTTTTGTGGTTTGGATTGGCGGTTCGGTGGTTGCCCATTCGCCTACAAGCATCAACCAATCCAATCCCCCCAGTTCAGGGATACCTGAAAACTGGCTGTCAAACTTCGACCCCCTGCAAAGCACATACTTTCGGTTTGAACGTATCAAAATGAAGGAAAACCACAAAGGCGAAGCGTTGAAACAGAGGTGAGGCAAGTCTGGCAATGGCAATCACTATGCCTTGGGCAAAGACACTCTTGCTGCAAATAGCATGCTACCCAATTCGCTCATCTGCCACCCCCTTACAAATAATGCGTCAACTTCGGACAAGTCCTGCCAGGGTAGTTCCCTTATGGGAGATTCCTCTGAATCAGAAGTAATTACTGGTGGTCCGGCCACTGGTTAAAAAGAGAATCCCAAAGGAAAATCGATGCCATCTTGGGAATCTTGGGGGTCCAAAAACTACCACGGCCATTAGGCTTGCCCTGGACCAAATGGTTTTTCAAGCCAATTGTGAACATGCCCCACAGCGGTCACTTCAACCCAAACTTGTGGATATTCCAACGGGAAAACTGCGAATCGAGTTTCAAGGGAGCCCACTTTCAGAAAGAGGGGTCGGCCTATGAGCTTGCTCCAGGGTCCGGCTGTTGCCGAGCGGCTTTCCGCTTCCTTCCCACAAACCCTCAACTTGTCTTCCCAAACCCTTGGCAGCACAAATACCTCCCGTCTTTTTGGCACACCCGGCCAAGAATCACCAGAACCAACAAACAACAACTCCAAGAAACATGGCAAGAGCCGCTATTTTTGCATTGACTTTCGAACCAAAACCAACACATCATTAAAACAGTGGTTGTTTTTAAGAAACATCTAAATAGATAAATATATATATATATATAAAACAAAGAAAACGGAGAAAACAAAAAAAAGGAGAAGAAAAAGAAGAACAAAAACGCCCGCCAAATTGAGCGCGCCGGATGTTGGCGATGGTCTGCTTCACCACGCAGGTATCAGAGGGCTTGGTGCCGTCCGACCTCGGATGTTTGAAACCCGAGCTCCGCCAACGGCAGGAGCCACGGTGTGTCACTTCTCTTTTTGGGGGGGGACCCCCAAAAAAGGGTGGTGTTCCTTTTGGTGTTCCTGCAAAACCACAAGAAAGGGGCACCACTAAAAAAGACAAGCCCAGATGAGCCACGGACAGTATTATGTACAGTTCAAGCTGTACCTTGCTCGTTCTCGCCAAGGAGCCTTCTCTTCAGACAATGGGCCGAACCCCTGGGAAGATGTGTGATTTCTAAACAGAACGGTGGGTTTCTCAAAACAAATCGGTCCCCCTGGAACGACAACGGCGTCCTTTTGGTTGCCCTTGCGATACCAACCAAGGGGTCCAGAAATTTGAAACTCCGGGTGGTTCAATTGGCTAGGCCCCCAATGTCCTCTTCAAATGAACAACAACAGACCAGTCACATTGTCCCTTGCTCATATTGTGTGTTAAGATAAGGGACCCCAAAAACAGTGGGTGTTCCCTTTGGTTGCCCTTCAAAGCAACCCCAAAAGCATCCAAAAGCGGTGGACCCCCGAAACGGCGATCCCCGAAAACGGTGTTTCTTTCGGTGTTCCTTGAGCGCCACAACAAAAGGGTATCCCTCAACCAAAGACAGACCCGCTACTGTATACGTGGAAATAACTCTTGCTTTGGGACCATTTTTTGTTAAGCTTGGGATTGTAGAATTTACAGAGACATAGACCCCCGAAAATGGGTGGTTCCCAGTTGAACTCGCAAAGAGGAGTGCACGAAAGCCTTGGAAGGATAATTTCTGCGATAGGCTCCCCATGGAAACCAGGATATGAACTTCCAGGTTCTACGTGATGGTGTTCCTTTTTACCAACTATATGGTGCTTGCCTGGATCCACTGGTAAAGCTCCACCCCGAGCTCTGACTAAAGGGAGCTCTCCTTTGGTCATAGCATCCAAACCACCCCCACAAGCCCAAAGTGAGCTGAATGCAAACCTAGGATTTACCCTCCCACCAGCTAACATGCACAGGCCCCTGTAGAAAGGCTGCTTTGCTGTTGGAAAGGGCCTTTTTTGCACGTTCTTGATAGTTGGTGGGAGTGTGCACTTCCATGTTAGCTGGTGGGAGGGGTACATTGTTTTCTATCATTTTCGTCAAGGGCAATGTCTCCGATGGTCCCAGATGTTGATCCCGTTGGCCCATGCTAGGCTGGCTCAAGACCCACAGTGGCCATGGGAAGAAACAATGCCGCCCGGTTTTGTTGGTGGTTGATTTAACACCCAAAAGCTTGATCAATGTTCGACCCCAAACCTAGGAAACTAATTGTTTCTAGCATCATCACTTTAATGAAAGAAACACACTGTGCAAAAGGCATCCCTGCCTCCCAACTGCTGACAAAGGATTCTGTCTGCTTTTGATGGAACGCCTTTGGAGGTTGGTTTGAAGGGAAACAAAGGGAAGCCGACCATTTTCAGGCAAACCCATATTGATCGAACATCCCATGTACGGCACTTAAAGGCCAAGATCGAGAGTCTACAGATACGGTTGTTTGTCTGGCTCCATCAGAAGGGCGCTCCCTGAAATAGGTGATTTGCCACCCCATTCCTATGAAGCAACCCAGAACAGGTACGCCCCCAAACTAATGGTTGTTTGACCACATCCATGCACGAGTGAGTGGACACGTGCAGAACTCACAAAGGCCAAAGGGTAAGTGCAAACGGCTCCCTTCTGGTCACATTGAACGGGTCCTATGCTAGAAAAGAGATTCCCACAGCAGCATTTTTTTTTACAAGTCAAGTCTGTCACTCGTCGGAGCTTACGGACTGCAAGGAGGTTTCGTATGACGCGCTCTGCAACCCGCGTTTTGCTCGCCGACACCACCAGACCAGCACGCAGACCAAGATGCAAATGATGATGGCAGACGCAAAAACCGCGATCCACGCGTTTCGCGCATCCTTGTCGCCCGCGTATCCAGGGCAAAGAACTTCCTCTACCGTTAAGGGCCCGAAGCCGTTCTCGGTGAGATCCATGCGTGCTCTGAACACCTCGGCGTTCTTGGGGTGGCCGTCATCCCAACCGAACTCCGCCATCGTGTCCTGCAGAAAGTTGCCGTGCGAGACGACGGCGATGAGAGGCTCCTGCTGCAGCCGCTGCATGGCAGCGCTGGTGGGAAGCCATTCGAGGAAGAAGCTCCAGCTGGGAGGACCCAAATCCTGGCCCTCCTCGGCCGGCACCAAACGATCCAAGTCCTCGGGGCCCAGGTCTTCTTCGATGCGTTGCCGCTGCTGGTCCGCAGGCCCTGGCGTGGAGCCTGGATGGAGGAAGGACTGGCCCCAGTGGTCCTCTGAGATGAAAGGCGCCACGTAGACGGAGCTGTTTCCGAAGGCCAGTAAAGCAGTCTCCTGGGCCCGCAGCAAGCAGGAAGCAAGGACCAGGTCCGGCGTGCGATGCTGAGAGAGGCAGTTCAGCCCTGTTTGGGTCGCCTGGCTTCTGCCAGTTTCCGTAAGGGCTGGGTCAACCAGGCCGAACGGCCCCTGGTGTGGGAACACGTTGCCCTCAGACTGGCCGTGTCGCATCAAGTACACCTCTACTCGTCGGAATCCCTCTTTCGCAGGGGCACGTGGAATATCGAATGCATCGGCTGCACGGATCCAAGCCAAGCCCATGAAGCGAACAAGGACCAAGGTCGCCATGGCCGCGTGCGTTGATTGACACAAGAACTGTTGATTCTCATGAGAAACGAGATGTGCCCAACTTGATTTGCGCAGAGAATAGCATCTACAACGCAATGTGGTTGTCTTCGAAGTTCCTGTCTTTCAACCTAGAGGGGCAAACGTACGTGCGCTTCAGGTTGCTCGCGCGGAGATCCCCAATCAACTTGCTGGTTCTCGTAGTTGAGACCACTGTAACTTCTTGATGTGTTCCGGTCCACCTCAGGCAAGCCGTACTGCGCCAAACTTTCCCTGGGTTTCTCCATGAAGACTGAGATGTTGAGTACGGAAGTTGAGAATTACAAAACTGAATCGCGAAACACGGCGCGTGCTTGCGTGGAGTCGGCTCGCAGGTCTGAGCCAAACAATCAAGGATTGACACCCGGAAAAAATATCCTGGCACATGTTTTGAAATGGCTGTGGGTCAAAAATAGGTACCCAAAATGGCCTGCCCTGGTAAATGGAACCAAAGACTAAAACCTGCGGTCCCCTGGTGGCTTAAAATTGACCCACACCCAAATCTATCAAACTGCACAAGATGATGCTGCATTCCCAACATGCCAAGAACCGCAATTCTGTGTAACGTCAACCCCTGATGAATAAACCCACCAGCTATTGATCTGCGGGGCCTCCCTGGAAAAAAACCGAACGCCCACTAAGTAAAAATGAGACTTTCGTAACAACAAGTGGGGGGTTGACATTAACCCCAGAAACACCATGATGAAACTGAAGGTTGAGCCGAACAAGAGCTGCTCAGCTCGCTGCAACTGATCTGTCAACGTCTGCGAGATCGCCCAACTGCTGGGGGAGGTCCAAAAACAGGGGACCCCAGTTGTGGATGGCATTCTCCGGCCATGTTTAGATCCATGTCTTGGCTGCGGGAAACTGCAGAAAAGGCGTTCCACTGGCTTGATAGATTCCATGTTAAACGCTCCCAGGATCCCTGGGCTGGGTCAGGCAGAGGGGCCTATCAGTTTAGCACTTGGACTCTTCAGCGACTTCCAGGAAGGCGCCCGGTGTCCCGTCGCATCCCAACCGGCTACATATATGGCTCGTCCCTGTTGCACTGGCATTGCTCCTGGGCATGGACGAAATCCACTTCGCCCCTGTTGGAATGCCTGAAACCCATCAATACCGGGATAAACCACCTACCAACTCGCTTCGCACACGAGGGCCGGGCATGAGTACCTGCGCGCTTGCCCAGCAACCCCAGCAACCCCAGGAACCCGTCACGAAACCCTGAGTCAAGGATTTTCCCCGCAAGAGTGTGCAATCTTTCCGCAGAAGTATGACGTAAATAAGTATACACATTACTTCTGCAACTTCCATGTGCTTAAGCCCCCTGCAAAAAATGAACATATGTCCAATAGTGATAAATTCCCTTTAAAACCAAGGGCAAGCAAACAATATATATTCTTAAGAAAATCGAAGATTATCCACACACATGTATGCTTTATTTAGGGCTCATCAACCCTCCCGACAGCGTCCGGCCCCGGGGCATCTGTCAAGAGTGAGTCACAATCAAAACCTGGGAATACAATGGTGTACCCAGGCCAATGCAAAGAACTACAAAGGCGGCCGCAACTAATTCTGGCTGGGATTTTCCCTTGCCAACCTTCACTTACCCGGGTTTTGATTGCGGCTCTCATGCTCTACAAAACCTGGGCGCCTGATTTATGGGCTCCCAACTGATTCCACCGATCGGGAAAGACCCCTGCGCTTTGGGGGCACAAGGGCAACGAACCCCAGACGCTCCCAAAACCTTCCTCTCGGGATGGAAACGTCCAGGGCCCGAAAGGTTCCGCCCCTAGGCAAATTCGATGGGGTTTCCACTGAGGGCCAATCCCTTATCTAAACCATGGTGTAAGCCAGCGTTCCTTAAAACAGCTTCTTTTGAAGCCCATCTCTCAACTTGGAGCACGTCTTCGGTGGCCCAGTAGTAGCGGAGCTGCTTGCTCCAGTCGAAATCGTTGACCGACCTACGGGCGTCGTCTTTGCTTCCGTTCAACAAACCAAATGGGGGAAAAATGGCCCGTGATGGTGATGTGTTTTTTTTGTTTCCTCTTAAGCCACCCAACAAAAAGGGGCACCCGGGAAAAAGACACACCCACCCAGCGTGTGGCAAAAGCCCTGGTTGATAAGCCCCTCAAGTGGCTTCGGGGCTCCTCATTCTGAGACACCCCACTTGGATGCCTTCTGACCTTCTGACAACTCCTGTTTGTCTAAATTTAAGGCCCCCCCGCGGAGGGGCCCCCAAAAAAGACAGACCATGAATAAATCCGCTTGAAACCCCGGCTTAGGGTTGCACATCGGATGCGTTTCCAGTCCTTCTCCCCAAAACGACCCGTACCCATGTGAGCATGACTCAAAATGAAAGAGCTGGGGCAAACTGCAGGTTTTGGTCTTTTCCTTTTGGTCCTTGTTTCCATCCAAGGGGCCCGACATTATAGGGAATTACCACGTTCTAACCCATGGGCCCTGTGTGGTTCCATTCGTTCCAGCCTCAAAAGGACCAGCCAAGCGCGGTCCTTCGCGTACCGAACCTGGGCACTTCCCTCGGGGCCGCCTGCACTTGGCTGCCTCGATCTGCTCAAGCACCGAGATGCCATGTACCTATCCGGTGGAATCCCAAATCACAAAACGGTTGCAGGCCCTCACTCCTCAGCTTCCCTCTAATTGCTTTGGATTGGTGGTGAAACGCAGTGATTTTTACCATTTACCCTCCACAAGAACCAGGGGTTCACCCTCCCACCAGCTAGCATGGAAGACTTTCCTCTTGGTTAGTTGGCCTTGTTGCACTTCCATGTTAGTTGGTGGGAGGGTCAAATCCCCAAGCCACCAATCCACCAAGGGTTACCTGAGCGCTAGGTCCAGGCCGCCCATCCGCCGCCCCCGGGCTGACGTCCAGCACGATGAGGGCGCCCATCAACACCTGAGGTCGTTGCTGGTGTACTCCCGAAAGGATGAACACGGAAAAAATAAGAAAAACAAACACTCTACGTGGAGCCCCTTTTTAGGTTCTATGTAAAAAAGGCAGTATTACTGGGTCTCTTATAGTGTTCAAAGTCTGAGGGCCTCCCCAGATTATTGTTAGATCCCCCTGGGCAAGAGGTAGCATTTGAGAATGTCACTTCAATGCATGCAGTCTGATTCCTTTTAGAGGGGCATGTTGAAAGATAACCAGGGCAGCTTATTGGGCCAACCAGGTTGCATCCTTGCCGGAAGGCCGATTGATACAGATCCCCTCCAAGTATGAAACACCTAATTAAGCAGTTCATCCGTTGACGTCATGTTCCCCTTTCCTTAGCTTGGCCCGTAAGAAGGGGGAAAAGGGGGAAACCGAAAATTTGATGCTCTGACTCTGTTCCATATTTAGTCGATCCTAAAGTGTAGTAACATCTGTTGAGAGGAACATCGGGGAACCGCACAAACGGGCGATGTCCCTGCTACCGCTATAGTTGGTAACCAGTGGAAACCATCATGAGGGAAAAACACAACTAGAGGTAGAAATGCGTGGAAGCACGGGAGAGACAATTCACCTGTTTCGCCAAGTAAGCATGCTGCTTGTTGGCAAGGGACCTGCCCCTCGTGCCGTAGAGTTCGAACATGGCAAAGGAAAGCACGCCATCATTCGGGAGCACTAATGCAGTGCAAACCCTACAATGAGAATCATTGTGGGGATTTGTCTGCAACAACCTTGATTCATCACTGAAAGGAAACCAAGGGAAACCACACCTTCAACCCTTGAAAGATCTTGAGCCTCAGGGCAACCGATGGCTCTTGGGCAAGAAGGAGCCCTTCTTGTCTCTTGGTCAGGCCAGGGAAACGGGGCATGCAGGCCAGAACAAGGGGGTCCCCAGCCCATCCCTCGCAAATCCAGTAAAGAACATATCATAATACCTGGGTGGTCCACGGGCCAGCTACATGGAACCCACTTGACCGTGGGAATATTGATGTGTCTGACCCAAGGGCTCAAAGTGGCTACGATGACTTGAATCAAGAACGCACCGAGGGCAAACACCAAAATGGGGCGCAGAACAAGCCAAAGGAAACCAAACAAAAAGCCGCAGACAGTTGCTTCATGATGGTTCAAAACACATCTTACTGGTACCTCAAGCAAACCGAACGGTCTGAACGAGCCACGTGAGGCTCGGAATAGCAGGGCCCCGGCCCTCTGGAGCTTGGTAAGATCCAGCCGCACCAGCTCCACACTGTGCCTCAAAACGTGGCAGCCGCCCCCCCCCCGCATGGTGGACACTTGGGGTCTATTTATTTTGCAACCTCCATCTTTTAGGGTATTGTTTTTTTAAGGGTTCTTGGTTGCAAAATAGACTCTAGGTGTCCATGGCACCGCCCCCACCCCATTTCCTGTGATTTCCAAACAGGAACCGGAAATGCCTTAGAACCGAAAATGCGCAAGACCCCCCCGACATTTCGAGCCTCCTGAACGTCGATTCAGTTGTCTACTCGAGAGTACCCTTAATTATCAGCTTCAAATCCACTGAATATAAAGGTTGCTTCCAGCAAATGGGGACTTTGCTTGTGCTCAAAAGGAAACCAACAGGAAACCATATATCACTTTCAAATGTGATGCCTCAAACTGCCAACAAAAGACATGCAGGACACCCTTCAGGGCTTTCAATAAGCTCGCCTTCACCCGTGTCCCGAGTGGCATCTCGGGGGGCAACTGAATGGTGGGAATCCCTAAAAAACCGGATCCCATGCAAAGACCCGCTTGATGGACATATTTTTTCCATGTCACCCCCTTTACAGTCAGTAGTTTTGCCCTTTCTCATGCAACCGAGCCAAAGTCATCTTCCAAAAATCCCATGGGACATTGAGTGAGTCCAGCTGGCGACTCGTTAAAAAGAGCCGTCTGGATGGCGCAGCTCTCAAATGGTGGCAGAGAGTCAGGGTTCCGGGCTCCAGCTGCTTGTTGGTGAAGGCGATGTTTTGCTTCATGGCCTGGCGCGAGTCTCGGCAGTCTCCGTCGCCGCTCCGCAGGCCCCGGGACGTGAGGCTTCTAACCCAAAAAAAAACCGACCCGTCGACCGAAAACCCGACCCTTCTGCTTCAGGT